ACAGAGCTATGAGGATGATGCTTTTCCACAAGAAAAAATTCATATTTTGGTTCTACAACCAGATAGTATAGAAGATTGGAAGCTGATTAAAGGAGTTTTGTATTTTTTAAAAAAAAGCTTATATGGGCAGTAAGGTAGATCTCAGAGAAAAGATTATTATGGATCTTCATGATTCATCAATAGAAGGCCACTCAGGTATACAAGGGACCTATCAAAGAATCAAGTCCTATTTTTTCTGGCTTAGAATGAAAACTATGATTCAACAGTATGTGCAATAATGTGAAGTTTGTCAAAGAACTAAGATCGAACATATTGCTAAACCAGGCTTATTACAACCCATTCCTATTCCTAACAATGCTTGGGAAGTCATTACAATGGATTTCATTGAATGATTACCCTCTTCTATGAAGCACACATGTATTCTAGTGGTGATAGATAAATTCACCAAGTATGCTCATTTCTTACCACTGTCACATCCATATACAGTGGTAGAAATTGCCAAGATTTATTTAGACCAAGTCTACAAACTACATGGACCTCCTAAAGTTGCTATTTCAGACAAAGACAAGACTTTTACTAGTCTCTTTTGGCAGGAATTATTGAAACAATTGGGAACAACTACGTTTTTCAACACTACCTATCACCCAGAAACGGATGGACAAACAAAAAGGCTTAATCAGTACCTGGAGCAGTATCTTAGATGCATATGTTTTGTCAAACCATCTTCATGGTAAAAGTGGATACCTCAAGCAGAGTGGTGGTATAATACTAATTACCACACTGCCTTGGGAATAACCCCATTTGAGGCACTCTATGGTTACAAACCTCCGAATCTAAATTAGTCAGGATAATCCAAGGTTGGGGCATTTCAAGATATGATGCAACAACGTGAGCAATTAAATACATTGTTAAAGGAGCAATTAAGTAAGGTCAGTAATCGTATGAAACAGATAGTCGATAAACATAGAACAGACAGAGAGTTTAATATCGGAAATGAGGTTTACCTAAATCTTCAACCCTATAGACAAACCTCTCTGGCTTTAAGGAAGAATTTAAAGCTGGCTGTGAGATACTTTGGTCACTAAAAAATCCAACAACGAATTGGTCAAGTGGCGTCCAGGTTACAGTTACCATCAAATTCGAAACTACATCATGTATTTCATATCAGTTTATTAAAAAGAAAGGTTAGAAAAGGGCGAGTAACTTCAATTGATCCTCCAAATATCATGACTGATGGCCAATAAAGGTTTACCCAGCCATTGTGTTGAATAAGCGGATCGTAAAACGCCATAACCAAGCGGTCACACAACTGCTCATTCAATGGACGAACATGGGGCCAGCAGAAGCGACTTGGGAAGATTATATTGTACTCAAGACGTAATTTCTCGATTTTGATCCTTGGGGACAAGGATCCTCTGATAGAGGGGGTATTGTCATGATGGAAGAGGAATTAGGGTTGAAAAAGGGGGAATTTGGGAGGAAATTGACTCAATTAGGGATTGGGAGTAAATCAGGGATTTGGAACGGGGAAGAAATGATGAACGAAAGGGCTGGGAGGATAGCTGAAAGACTTACTGTTGGGGTCAGAGTTGAGGAGGAGATTGGGTCAGCTAAGGCAAAACATGGGCTAGGTTAATGGTGGGCTACGAGTTGTAATCTACTGTGAAGCAAGCTGCATATAAACCTGCATGAGTCAGCATAATTTAGTTAGTTTGTTAGATTTTCAATACATGCCAACTGTGAGGTACTTGTAATTATATAAAATTGTACCTGATTCTATTGGAATTATCTCTGATGAATGAATGAACAATTCTTTTCTTAAAATTTTTCTTCTATTTCTCTAAAATCTCAATTCTTCATCCCCAAATCGTGACATTATCTCTCGAGTTCTATCCAGGAAAGACGAGTCTTGCTTGGCTCAACCAAATATCACTTCCTTTGCTTAAGTACCTTTCAATTTCGTCTGGGAATCTTGTGAATATCATCAAAACTTTTGGGGATACAACAATATTGTATGGAAGGTCGAAGGGTTAATGTTGAAGTCACTATCGGATTTGGGATTACAATGGACAATGTTGCAAGAAGTGATGAAAAGTTTGAGAGTTGTGAGTGTTAGCTGGTGTCCGGAATTGGTGTCTTTCCCAATTGATGACGTTGGCTTCAGAGGTGGAGTATGGAGTAAGGATGAGCTCAAGCAGTAGAACTAATGTCATAGTTCATGTGTTTAAAATTATTTGAGGCTATTTAAATTTTATGAAATATTTTTAATAAAATTTATGAATTTTTACATATTTATATACTAGTACATATAATTATATTTAAAATTATCAAATTTTATGATTTTTTACAAGATTCATATCTAATGTCAGTGGGAATCCAGAAATATTTTTAAGGTAGACACATATGTATTAATAGTAAAAAATTTATGTATAGGGTAGATACTTATAAAATTTCAGGGTAGATATATCAGTAAAATGAACAATAAATATAAATAAATTATAGGGTAAAACTTTTTAAATAATAGGGTAAATTTTACGTTTAGTATCTAAACTATCAGTTTTGGTCTGTTTTAGTACCTAAACTTTCAATTTTTTAAAACCGTACCTAAAGTTTAGTTTTTGATTTATTTTAGTAACCTTGTTCAAAATTTAAAATTTAGGTGATAAAACATACCAAAACTAATGGTGTATGTACTAAATGTGTTAAGTTGGTAATAATTGATACTAAAATAAAACAAAAACTAAATATTATGTATTGTTAAAAAAATTGAAAATTTAGATACTGATCAAAAATGATGGTTTAAGTACTAAATGTATAGTTTAAATTATATGTAACTGTGTGTCGTACTCTTATTCACTAACTTGTGGAAAATTATACGTCGTCGGTGCATAGAATCTAAAATTTATAATATATATTTTGGTACTAGAGTTTAGTCTAAATGCTCAATTTTGTATCTGAATTTTTTTATCTTATTAAATACCTAAATTTGATTTCTTGATTCAATTTGGTACTTAGTCTTTTCTTTTGCTCTAATTAGTTCCCTAAATTAAATTTTTTTAATTTAATACTTATATTTTATCCAATTAATTATTAAATTTGAAATAAAAATATTTCTATATTATAAAATTTCAAAATTATTTGAATTCAATAAAAAATTTCTGACCTAAATAAGTACAAGTTCAAAATAATCCAGATTAAACCAATAAGTCAAGTGTCGATTTGAATGAAGAAGTCAAGTTTAAGAGTCAAATTGAATAAAAAGGCATGTTCATGTATCTAATTGGACAAAAAGAAAAAATGAACCAATTTGAACCAAGAATTCAAGATCAGGTACCTAATTGGACAAAAAAAAGTTAAGATACCATATTGAACTTTGAGGTCAAGTTGAGGTACTAAATGTATTTTACCCTGGAAGAAATCATCTGTAAAGTAGTGTACGGGTCCCTTAGCCTGCAAGGACCCTCAAGCCAGTCCATTACCCTAAAATGAACACATCCAACTATAGTAGATCGAATTTGGGCCTGCATGAGCCAAGATTAGCCCACAGGCAGGCTGCTGGGTCGGCATAAGCCCGTTTTCGAAACCGGTGCGTTTCATATGAGACCTCTCTCTTCCTTCAAATTTTCAAGATCCAACTTTTCTTGTATCTTTTTTTTGAATCTTTACAAAAACAAATTTTTATAATTTTCATGAAAGCTTCGGTTTTTGCTTTATTTTTGTATGTTTTGATCTTTCAGAGAAAGAGAAATGGATCCGGATTCAGTTAAATCAGCGTTGTCTAATTTAGCATTTGGGAATGTTATTAGGAATGGCAACGGTCGGGTTCGGGGCGGGTTTTGCTCGCCCCGTCCCCGAACCCGAAATGAATCCCCGATCCCGACGGGTTTTTTATTGGGGCGCCCCGTCGGGGATTTTTTTTGCTCCGTCCCCAAACCCGACCCGAAATATTATACCAAAACCCGAACTTGAACCTGAAAATATTTTATATATAATTAATATAAAAAATATAAAATATTATATAAATGATTAATATAAAATATATAAAATATTATATATATATATATATATATAATCGGGGTGGGTCGGGACGGAGATAACTTGCCCCGAACCCGAATCCGATCCGACCCGACCCGATATCATTCAATCCAATCTGATCCGAACTTAGCCGAGTTCCGGATTTCCCCATCGAATCCGAGTCATACTGCCATCCCTAAATGTTATTGCAGCAGATGCTCGTGATTATCAAGGTTGTCTTTTTACCTTACTTTTCTCTTTATTTTACTTCTTTTTTTATATGCCGACTTTATCCTTCCCATTTGTATCCACCAAGTTTTCATTGAATAGTATGTAATGCCCTGAAATTTTTTTAAAAACAGAAGTAGATTATTGTCGTATTGTCTGTTAAATTGCTCATCAATGTTGGATATACTACGCTAATTGGATTCTTAGATGCTTGCTTTTGAAGTAACTAAAGCTGCTGTAATTTGTTGGAGAACTTGAAGACAACACTTGCGCTTGAACTTGTAGATAATACATTAATACTCATACAATTTTAAGATTCTGTTTTGGTCTGAAACATGGGTTTTCAATTATGGATTGGGAACTATAAATTGATGGTGATTTTTAATTGGCTAAGCCAGGTTTACTTGACTTGCTTTAGAACTTGATGTTTGGTTATCCAAGTTAGCTGGTAAGAAAATAGGTATGCCAAGTGTTATATGTTTAATGTGTGTGAAGTGTGAATTTGTGAATGTGGTAATCTTATAGGAGCTGCTTGCCCAAGAGAAGGCTCAGTCATCAGCTTCAGCCAAAAAGGAGGTTGACCTCAATGAGCTGATGGATGTAAGTCTAATGAAGCTTTTCATATTTGATGATGGAGCATCTTTCGTCCGTTCTACATTACTCTGCTTTTCTGTATGCTCATGAACTTCATATATACAGGATCCCGAGCTGGAAAAATTGCATCCAGATAGGATTGCTGCTCTTAAGGTTAGAAATTTAATGACAAGTCTTAATTCAAAATGATGTGAAAAGGTCCATAGATGTGGGCATCTTTGTTCTGAAGTCCAAAATGACACTAAGATTTATTTGAATAGAAAGAAGCTGAGAAGTGAGAAGCGATGAAGAGGCAAGGGCATGGAGAGTACAGGGAGATTACTGAAGGAGATTTTTTGGGTGACGTCACTGGAAGTGAGAAAGTGATTTGCCACTTCTACCATAAGGAATTCTATTGATGCAAGTAAAGTTTTTTCACTTTTCTCTGTCTACCATAACATATAGTTTGGATACACATACCGTGCATGTGCTCAATCATAAATCTGCTAGACTTATTGGGTATTATGCATTGACATCCAGGATAATGGATAAGCATTTGAAATCCCTTGCAGCAAAGCATGTGGATACAAAGTTCATCAAGCTGGATGCTGAGGTGACCATCAACAATCATACTATAATTCTAAAGCTTGATAGAGTTTTATCATATTTCATTCCAGTTGTGGAATTGCTTTCGTTGCGTAAGTAAGATTCTGATTTCTTTTTTTGGCAGAATGCTTCTTTCTTTGTTACCAAACTTGCAGTCAAAACTCTGCCTTGTGTTATAATTTTCAGGTCAGCCATCTCTTAGTTATTTTTTCCTTGGCACAAATATTGATAAGTTTTGGCATCAAGTGTTAAAGTTAGAAAACAGTTCTCTTTTATCACATCTAAGTTGAATATTTGCAATGTATGGTCAGAAAAAGGGTTGCTGTAGATAGGTTGGTTGGGTTTCAAGATCTTGGGGGGAAAGATGATTTTGCTACAAGGACACTTGAGGTTTTTCTGATAAAGAAAGGTAATGTCTTCGCCTAGAACAAACATGCAATTTATAGCATTTAGTGGAGCTGAAAACCATGTATCATTTTACAGGTATAATTAGTGAGAAGAAAAATGAAGATGATGAGGACGATGTTTATGACGAGAGTAGGCGCAGATCAGTGAGATCTTCTGTGAATCATGATTCTGATTCTGAGTGAAAAAAAAGGACAACGAAAAGAAATTACTGTCTTCTACCAGGTTCCTTATCTCAAGAAGTTCAATTTGAATGCCCAAACCAATTGGAACATGTTCATAACAGATGCTACGAACTATTAATTACGGAATATCTTGTTTTGATGCTGGCCTTCATGGTTCTATGAGTTTGAAGTTTTAATTGTATCGGAAAAGAGAGGGAAGTTTGACGGACGGACGGGTTATTCTCTATATGATATTTCTTTTGTTATGCTGTATGGCCCTAACGATCATTGATGTATGGTTGTGCTATTTGCCTGGTTATGTATCAAGTCATACATTTGTATTGAGGTTCAATTACCGCAATAATTTGCTATAAGTTTTTAACTGTTTGAACTCGCATCCTCTGTGAAGAACAACATTCCTTTTTACCATTAAGGTCACTCAATGAGTTCCTTATGTACAACCTCAAGTTCTCTCAATGGTGTGATGTCTAAATCTCACTCCAGCAACTATTAATAAAATGTGATGCCAAAGACCGGGGCACAAGGCATAGTCCACTGCTTCTAAGATCACAATTCTGCTCTTCTTTTCTTTCTTCCTCTCTTGAACCCTGCAGCCAAGAAGAAGGAAACAAACTTGTAATTTTCTACTGGATTCTCCTATTAATGATGATTAATATTAAGCTCAACAGTCATTTGGCTCGAAACTGTGAGGTCTATATTGAGATAGGTAAGGAATTTCATACCCCTTGATTTGTCCTATAATGCTTGCTTTGTGATGATTTCATAAATGGCACGCTCAGTGTCTGCAAAGGGAAATTGAAGAATAAACTTGTTCAGGATCCCAAAACAACTACAAGCATGCAATAGTTAAAGAAATGAAAATGACCTGAACTTGGTCCTGGAGGAACTGGATGTACCCAATGGCTTCTGTTAACACAGTAGATGTATCTGTCTGGCCATCACTCAAATATAGAAAATTTAGATATGCAAGTATGGCCCTAATAATATATTAACATGGAATGAAATGTACCTTGCCAAAAGGCGCCACTAACTTCTGCAAAGCTGCAATCCTGTCTCCTAGTTTCTCTTTCCTAACCCGCAGCTGAAAAAAACCAAAGACCAAGCTATTTAAGAGACTGAAAAAGTGAAATAGAAGCCACAACTTGCAGATTTCTTAAGTGGAATATCAGTTTCACCTTCAATGTGGGACATGAGGACCTGTGCTTTTTAGCATCTGTATGGGTCGATTCTTTTGTATCAGAAAAGCTACCATGCCTCTTTGTGCTTGTAATAGATCCACTAGCAAAGGATGATACCTTATGATGGTAGAAAGAAAAGAAATTCAGTTTATGGATCTTGAAATGTTAAAAGTGACTGGTGCAAAAATAACCCTTTCATTGCAGGTGAATTTGTGTTGAAGATCCGTTTGTGAAACTGAAAAATGGAAAGTGCAACCTTTTCCTGTATCTTTCCAACTAAGGCTAGATTTTCCATAAATGAAAATTCAAAAGTGGGATGAATAAGAATAAGAGAGAAAGATACCCACTTTGGAACTGGTGGACGTACTATCACTATGTTCTCTTCTGCTTAATTTTCCGGGAATCATATCAAGTAAAGATTGATTATGGCTTCCACCATCATGCGTTGAGGTTAAAAGATACAAGGATTTCAAGTTCAAGTCCAAAGAGCTTGACAACAAGGAGGAACAAAAATCCGAGGTTGAAATGTTTGTACTTGGAAAGAAATGATTGAAATCACGTCTGCTAGTTGCCGATGTAGTTCCCGGACATGGGGGGTGATGAACATTACTGTACAATTCTCCTGAAGAAAGCTGCAGCTCGGTGATGTTGTTAGCAATGGAGAAATTGCTGTGCCATAGATTTCCTCCAAGATCATAATCACTAGAGTGACAGTACATCGTCTCACTCAGTTTGGGAAAGGAATCCGACATCTCATCTTTGATGTTTGCAAGCAGAAATTCACTTGCAGATTGTTGGTTGAAACATGGATCCCTTGATTTTGATATGGTTTCATTCAGATCCCTATTGTATTTACCACCAATATACCTGCATGAAAGGCACAACGACAAACACAAATATATTCAACATGGAAACAATATCAAATTATCAATATACCATTATATTGAAAATCATAGAAACCCCATAGGGCATATATGTGATGCATGAAGAACTCCAGATCAAATAAGTAAATCTCAGACTATATAAATGGAGACAACCAAAGCTTTAACCTTAGAAAGGCAAAAATGAGAAGGAACTGGTTTAGGTACTTACGGGAAGAGGTTTGGGTTCCATTCATCTATGGTTGAAACTTGATGGCTTGTCGGAGTTACCAGAGAGGAGTATTTAACATACTGTTCTTGAACCCTACGGTCATGAGGATGAAGATTAGCAGACTCCATCATGACTCTAGCAAGTATTAATATATTATCAACCCTTGAAAAAAATAAACCAAATAAGCTGCTAGCATCTTCAACTTCTTTCCTCCCTTGATTTTCTCTACCTTCAACTTCATGCGAAGTCTCAGCTTAAAGCAAGAATCTGAAACAAAGAAAAATGAATACCCTACACTCTTTATTCTTTCCAATATCACATAGATGGATGAGGTATGATTGAACCCCTAGTTCTGGAATTGCACCAAGTTTTCTTTTTGAAAATGCTCTTTCCCTTCCCTTCACTTTGTAATTCAAAGACTCATGTATCAAGCAATTATATAAATAGGCATATTAGGAACTAGGGTTTTCTACACATAACATCACATGCAAGCCTACACTCTTCAAGAAAGGTGAGAATACATAAACATGATATAGATTCATAAGAGGTATCGTTTATACAACAGATAAACTCTATATTAAACTTTTGGATTTAATGTTACTCCTCCTATGCTTTCTAAAATATTCATATTCAATATTTATCCTTTTCTTTCGCAAAGTAAAATTTATTTATAATTTGAAAGAACACTTACAAGTGGTTTATGCTTCCAAGTAAAATATTCAATATTTATCAATGATAAATGTATCTAAATATGTAACATTCTTTCAAAAAACATTTATAATATGATCGTTTAAGTATATAAAAATGATATTATATTAGATAGTTGTATAGGTGATTGAGAAGTAGCTGGTATTTGATGGAGCTGAACTTTCGGAATTGTTGGATTTAACAAAACTTAGACGTCTTTTCAATAAAAAAGATACCTAAATATAATAAGCAAATAACTACATACAGAGAAAAAGTTAGCTGCGAGGGAAAAGATGATAAAAGATAATTTAATGGTATATTATAATTTCAAATTTTTATTAAATAAGCATCCCAATTGGAATCTACGTTGGGACGCATTAAGCTTTGACGTATATACAAAATATTATTTTAAAATAAAACCATAAAAATAAGATGATCTCTCCTCGTTAGTAATTGATATCTATTCAAAGATAACTCTCAACCATTTGACATTAAACGATAACTCTCGTAACATTTTTTATGCTCAAACTCAAGACCTTAAAGGAATAACAATTTCTTTTCAATCGAAGTTAATTGATAAAAATATTATTTTAATTTTGATTGATATTAAATTTTGAGTTCAATCTCAAATATTTTTTTCTCTCACCAAAGAATTAAAACAGTATGTTATTAGTCCTCCTAAAAAAATACGAACTGTTAAAATCATTTATAATTTCATTTAAAAAAAACTATGCATGAAAACAAAAATGGTGGTGAAATAGAAAAAGTAATAATATAGTATAGATAAGTGGCGAATTAGAGCATGAAAACGAGGTGTAAAGTTGGGTGAATTATTAAAGATGGAAGAAGAAGAAGACAAAGGCATTTGAATCCTACAAGAATATATGCTCTCTTTTGTTAGCATGCAATAATTTATAGCACCAAAATCTAGGAATGGTAAAGGAGATGCGGAGGTAAAAAGTCATACTCGTTATGGATTAAGTAGGTGATGAATTTAAGATCTTATCTATTCTGCATTTGCTCGCCCCACATCCGTTCGTCAACTAATTGCTCACCATATAAATTTTAGACTAGGGTTGCTTAATGAGTTGAGTAGCTCCAATTCGACTCGGTAAAAGCTTGACTCGAGTTGACTTAACTCAAGCTTGACTCGAGTTTACTCAACTCGAACTCGAGTTCAGCTCGAGACCTTAATGAGCTGAGTTAAGAAAAGTCCAACTCGACTTGAAAAATTCTCGAACAACTTGTTAATTTTTTTTATAACTTTTCAATATTTATCTTAAAAATTTATTTCATTAAAAATATTACTAATTTACTAATAGATTATAAAAAAGATAATAAATTATTAATCTATTAAATTTCTAATAAATAATTAAAAATACTAAATTATTAATTAGTTATTATTATTTTCTGCACCCAAAAATCAAACGCTAATTATTATTTTAATGTATTTATGTATTTTTATTTTGATGTTTAGACTTTGAATTTGTTTCGTACAATATTTTGATAATTTTTTGGTCAAATTTATTAATATATGTTTATATTAAGTTCTATATAGTATTAGTAGATTTTATTTATAGTTAAAAAACAAAATAAAAATTTGGTGAACTTGACGAGCGAGTTTAATGAGCAACGAGTTGATTAACAAATTTTCTTAACGAGCACGAGTCGAGTACTAACCGACTCGCGATCAACTCGCTCGATAAGCACCCCTATTTTAGACCATTATGAATTTAGGTATAATTCCAAAGACTATTATATAAATCTTAAAATTTTATAGGACATTACTTGTAATTTAACCAAGTGTTAGGATATATACTTAATTAATCATTGACTTGTTTTATTTTGCTTCTTAAAGGATGTGCTTGTTTTATATTTTGTTACGTACATAATATGTGAAGTTGTTGTCAGACGGGTATACATAATTATGGGATGGATGATAAATATTCAATTGAATAGTAGATATAAGGATAGATTTAAGAATGTGTCTGCATGAACGTCTGTGAATGTAAAAAGTTTATCCATCATAAGTGATGGGGAGGTAATATATACAAATAAATTAGATAAATATAAGAATGAAAGAAAAGATATATGCAGCAGTGTCGCCCTGCTTTACCATCCCTACTTAACTATTTATAAACCAAAGAATAAACGGCCGAACAAACCAAATAACAAACTCAACCGATTAATAACAGAAACGATAACAAATCAATTAACTACTTATATTCTAACATGCCGAAAGTTTGGTATTTGGGTTGAAGCCTAAGTTACCAAATTCTGGGTTACACGTGACTCATGCATGCCCTTGTTTAGTGAATTCTTTATGGGCAAGAAGCTGGTGGCATTAGGTCAAGTTGATAGTAACATTAATTATCAAAGGCACGCCTTCCTCTACAATAAAAAAAAGAAAAAAAAAAAAAGACACTCCCTTATCTTAAAAGTCACCTTCCATCAACTAGGGATAGGCAATGGGTCGGGTCAGTCGGGTTTTTGGGCCACCTGACCCGACCCGAGAATAAAGGGTCCTTCACCCGTGACTCGATACGATCCGATAAAATTAAGGTTTCACTCGATCCGACCCGAATATATGACTTAGAAATTCGACCCGAAATAATAAAAAAAATATTTTTATTCAATAAAAACAGTGACTTAATTGAAAAAAATTATATATAGAGGGATATTATTGTAATTATCTCTAAATATATAGGGTAAAATTATATATATTTTTCAGGTCGAATTTTTTCCACCCTAAACCCGATCCAAACCCAAAATTTTTTAAAAAAAATCCGATCCGATCAGATCGGGTTCGGATTGAGTTGCCATCCCTACCATCAACACATACATTAATCTAAATTTTATGTCCAAGTCTTGCCTTTCTTTCTAGTTTTCCCCTGCCTCGATAAGCTTGGACGCAATACCAATGCAAACAAGGAAAATGATTAAAACATAGACACATGTGTCATATCACATAAATTATTCATATATAAAATATGTTTAAAGTATATAATTATAACATTTAAATAAAACCATACAATTATAACATGTGAAATTACATTAATACAAATTCAGTACATAAATTATTAGGTCTATCACTTACCTCCATAGCCAAAAAGAATTTAAGTTTACAAACAAAATTAGCTCTACGTTCAATTAGAGATGAGTATTTGATCGGATTGAATAAAAAATTAAATTAATCACGTTGATGGATCTTATTTTATTATTTAAACTTTAGTTGATTTTTTTAGTGAAATCAAGTTTATAAAATTCAAGTCGAGTTGTTTGAGTTTCTCTTTAAATTTAATTGTTTATAATTTTTATAATGTTATGATACATATCAGTTTCAATTTGAACGACTTTCTCTAATGATATATATAAGATATACATATTTATATTTCTTCATATTATTTTTCACATGTGTAAGTAAGATTTGTAATGTTACTTAATAAAATAAATAACATCTAAAATTATAAAAATATATTTATAATATTATTGGTAAATAACATATTGTTGAGGACAATTATTGATGTGAGTATAAAAAAGTAAAATAAAAATCGATGACAATAAAGAATTTATAATAAAAGTCAACCAAATGATTAAATTGAATAAAATATAAAGTTAAGATATTAAATTTTATAGTGTTAGTAGAGCATGTGGTTTTAATTTCGTAACAAAAATGACTTAAAATAAAGGTGTAATTGAATAAAGACTAAAGGTTGTGATGACTGAGGATGAAAACAAAAAGAATGGGAGTAAGAGTTAAAAAAAAAATTGGGGAGAGAGAATTTTTAACATCTTTTGTTAAAAATTTAAAATTTTATGAGTTAAATTTTAAATTAATGTTCTTAAGTTAGTACATCGGTAAATTAATAATGACTAAAACAACACATAATTTAAACAATTAAATTATTATACAATTTAAAATATATAACCAAAATAATATAAACCAAACAAATAAGGACCACCTTTGTAGTTTTCGCAAGTTCAAAACATAAATCTCAGATTACTTTCTGCCGAGTTTGCTTCTTACTATTTTTCTACCTTCGCTCCCCATGGACGACATCCCACCCTACCCCCCAATCGATCCAACCACCTTCGACCTCATCGTCATAGGCACCGGCCTTCCTGAATCCATCATAGCCGCCGCCGCCTCAACCGCCTCTAAATCCGTCCTCCACCTTGATCCCAATCCCTTCTACGGATCCCACTTCTGCTCTATTCCTCTCGCCGATCTCCCGTCATTCCTCTCCACCCACTCAACCTCACCGTCACCACCGTACCAACAATCGTCCGACGAAAGTAATGAGTTTTCCGTCTTGGGTTTATCTACTCGTCCTCTCTACTCCTCTATCGATATCACCAGGTTTTCCCCTGACCTCCTCGATAAGAACTCCAGAAAGTTCAACCTCGATGTGGCCGGACCTAGGGTTTTCTTTTGTGCCGACAAATCTATTGAATTGATACTAAATACGGGAGCCAATCAGTACATGGAGTTCAAGAGTATTGACGCCACTTTCGTAGGGGACAACAAGGGGAATTTCTCGAGTGTGCCGGATTCCAGAGCTGCCATATTCAAAGACAAGAGTCTGGGACTTACCGAGAAGAATCAGTTAATGAGATTCTTCAAGCTGGTGAAGGGACACTTGGCTGGAGAACAAGACGTAAAGATTTCCGATGAGGATTTGCAGAGTCCGTTTGTTGACTTCTTGAATAAAATGGGATTGCCGCCCAAAATTAAATCGTCTGTTAGTCACAACTCCAATTTTTCCCCCCTTCTCTAGTTGCCTCATTGCTTCAACTCGTTGGCATGATTTTCATCTGCATTTGATTCCCCCCCCCCCCCTTGTCTTTGCAGGTTTATACTCTATGCGATAGCAATGGCTGATTATGATCAAGAAGATACTGGAGTTTGTAGAGATTTGCTGAAGACAAAAGATGGGATCGATCAGTTGGCTCTGTATAATGCATCTATTGGCAGGTTAAATCTGTTCTTTCAGTTCCATTATTCAAGTCAAGCCTTCAACTAAAAAAATTCAATTCCATGTTGAAATTTGAACAGGAACTTATCATAGCAAATTCCGTCTATATTTACGTTTAATGCATTGTCTCTAGGTTTCAAAATGCTTCTGGAGCTTTGTTATATCCTATCTATGGGCAAGGGGAACTATCCCAGGCTTTTTGCCGTCGTGCTGCTGTCAAAGGCTGCATTTATGTAAGTTCTTATGAGGAGAGAATTCTTGTGTTTGACAACTTTTAATGTAGTTACTGATGAATTTCCTACCATTGTCGGTTTTCTTTTATTGTTTATGTGTGTGTATCATTGCGTGTTAGCCTGATTTTGTGTTTGCATTACTTAATCTAATGCTCTCATGTGAATTAAGTGGAATCAGTTGCTTGATATTAAATACTTGGTTGTCTACTACTTTATGCTAACGGAAGCCTTAAGCAAATTAGTGTCTATCTATAGAAAAACTCCAGAAGGAAGGTACAATAGTTTTTTAATCTAAAATGGTATAGGAATACGGTGGTTTATGTTACCAATCATTTCAGAATACCCACTATCAAGCACAATTTATCCCAATATACTTGGAATTGGAGAAATGTAAACAGAGTTTGTCTGCTATAGTTCTCCTTATTTATATTCATTTCCTCTCTGAGTTGGTTGAAGGCATTTCATATCTTTGAGATGCCCAACACAACACCAGACAGCCTGATTTTACATTAAATTATTATGTTTTAGCTGTAAGATTATGCTAATCCATTTGAATTAATGTGACATAGGTATTGCGTATGTCAGTTACTGCATTGCTTGTAGACAAGGTATGGAAGCATAAGCCAGACTACATCATGTTAGATATTTTGTTATTCTGAGCAGACTGTTTCTGTTATGATGTTAAGGTAGAAGATCTTCATATTTTTCCTTTAAAAACTTCTCAGGATTCTGGTTGTTACATGGGTATTAGATTAGCTTCTGGTCAGGATATATTCAGCCAGAAACTTATCATTGATCCAACCTTTAAGGTAACATTGCCATCAGGCTCATCCCCACCGCTTCCACTTCCACTTCAAGGAAAGCTTCCATTTTTCAGTCAGAAGGATGATAGAGGAAAGATAGCGAGGGGAATATGCCTCACAAGGACTTCTTTGAAGACTGACATGTCCAACTTTTTGGTTGTATATCCTCCAAGATGTAAGATCTGTTTCTTTTGCCTTTGTTGAAGATATTAAACTATGATAAAAAAGCCAATGACTTCTTTTTCCCCTAGCATTGTTTCCTGAGCAGGTTACATCCATCAGACTTCTCCAAATAGCTAGCAATTTGGCTGTTTGTCCACCGGGCATGTAAGTTCGTTAGTTTCTGAGGAGGATAGGTTTTATATTCTCTCTGATTGTTTTACAATGAATTTTATCCGCTGTCATCTTTTCGCCTACTTTTTTTTTGCTGCTTTTCTGGTGGTTATCTTTTGAATGTACCATTTCTGATCAATTTTGTGAGAAGTCAGAACTGTCTACCTAGCATTTATTCATATCATCTTTCAGACATAAAGAGCTCAAATTTAAGTTTTTATTGACAATGAAGTGAACAGAGAAACTTCACTGTCATTATTTTTAACTTGGTTAAAGTTTTCGATCTTATGCATACCTAGATTAGAAGGGAGTAATTCCAGTCTATATTCTTAATGCAAAAATATAAAATTTTCTCCCTGTTCTATTCAGGTTTGTGTTGTATATCTCAGCATTATGTGATGATGAAGATCAAGGGAAGAAATTAATTCATGCAGTCATGACCACCGTTCTTACAGTTCCTCGTATAAATTCTGAAAGTAATGCTGCAGCTCAAAATGAAACTGCAGGAAGTAGTTCTACAGGTACAAGTGATCCTGGAGAAGGAAAACCTACTCTACTTTGGAGTGCGTTATATAGTCAGGAGCTCACTTTGGTATGTTTCTTATGGTTGCTTTTACTTTTACGATACCTTCTATTTTTCTGAATAATCATCACTCTTTCCAGAATTGTTTAACACTTGTGACATGGTTTTAGAGGGATTACTCGGTCTGCTTAACAGTTGTTAGGGCTTGAAGTTTTGTTGAACAGTTGTTAGGGCTTGAAGTTTTGTTGATGTCAATATACGGTTGGTCGTAATGCCCTTTTCAAAAGAACTATGTTTTTATTCAGGGTCAAGTTGATTTTATATGTTCAACTCCCATGCCAGATGGTAAACTGAACTATGATGATCTTGTAGATGCGGCTGATAAGGTACATAATTGCTGGTTTTCATGAAATTTAAAATTCCATTCTACATTCTGATTGCTGTTTGGAATGTAATGCTGGTTGTGGAATGACAGTTATTTAAGGAGATTTACCCTGAGGATGAATTCTTTCCACAGACATCCTCAAAGAATCCCGAGGATGATGATGATGGTGATGGTTCTCCAGAGACATAAAGATTTGCTACTGAAGTACCCATTCTCTATTTAAGGAAGTATCAAATGATCGGGATCCTTTTCCCAGATTTGTTGCTATGTAATGATCTATTTGAAATGGTGAAGAAAAAAGGAAAGGCGTTCGATACACTTACGGTAACAAAGCCACTGTTGGTCCAATTTCCCTTTGTATAAACTTTTGTTGTACCCATCTTTTACCAGTTATATTTTGGCTAGATCTCTTGTTACTTTTATAGTTCTGATGTATGAATCGAGTTGCAGCGACAGTTATGAAGTGCATGAATGCTTAAACTACACTTCATTTTTTTCGAATTAAATAAAAAGGTTGCCATTGCCAATATTACCATTAACAATCAAGGAGCTTCCTTCTTATGGTGATGGTCTCAGGTTCTCTCGAGTCCATAAAAATACATAAATGCACCAACACATTGATACACCTTATTGACTATTGTGCACATATAATCCAGTGTTTAACTAGTTGTTTACTTCCTGCAAATGCTCCCTGATCAACTCCAATCAGCAATAACTTTGTCTCACACTGAGGCGAGAAGCCAGTTTCTGACCCAAAGATTTGTCAGCCTACAAAGACAATTACATCATTATTATTAAGCCGAGGATAATTAGCCTGTTGGGGTGTTTATATAAATTAATTAAAGATCAAAGGATGAGAGTCCCACCAGTGACCAGTATGCGATCCAAATATTGCTAATCTCGTGTATAACCCTTGGATCAGACAATGCATCAATCCAGCGTTGAACAAAACGTTCTTGCCTGTGACAGTCAACCAAAATGACATTATAAATGTAAATGAATGCATAAAGAAATGAAGCAATTTTACATTTCTTATCAAAATGAAAAAGAAAACCTGTCAGGTGTAAAGGATCGGTATCTTTCCCTAGGCTGCTTAAAGTTGTTCTCCTCAATCATGCACTGTGACAATACAAAACGATTATAATATTAAATTGCGGTTATGGGTAACATTATCTTAAAATGCTAGGTGAAAGGAAAAAACTCAAACCTTCTCCCTCTTGCAGCTGCAAACGGCAGTAGGAATAGGGTACGTCTCAGCATGGCGCACTGGATCGTATCTCGAAGGGAAGTAGTTCACCTTAACGAGGAAAAAAAACATTCATCAGGGATCATAATGCATCAATGAACTTAACATGTCATCTTAGCTTTCTATATGTTTTTATATGGTAGGAGCATGACAGCATGCATGTCTTTCTATTTATGCCTCCTCATCTCTGTGCATGAAATTCATAAAACCTTCATGGTGATTATTGTGATGAACACATTTGGGAGCATTGGCCGGAAGCTGCAGATAGGTCCAAGGTGGTGCCTCTGAGTGTCGGAGTAGGAGAAGATTCTAGTTTGGAGCAACTGATCATCCGAGTAATAAATCCCAGGGACAAAGATAGAAGGACAGAAGGCTAACTGCTCGTTCTCAGCAAAGAAGTTATCAATGTTTTTGTTCAAAACCATGATGCATCAATGACCATTCATCAGGGATCATAATGCATCGATGAACTTAACATGTCATCTTAGCTTTCTATATGTTTTTATATGGTAGGAGCATGACAGCATGCATGTCTTTCTATATATGCCTCCTCATCTCTGTGCATGAAATTCATAAAACCTTCATGGTGATTATTGTGATGAACACATTTGGGAGCATTGGCCGGACGCTGCAGATAGGTCCAAGGCGGTGCCTCTGAGTGTCGGAGTAGGAGAAGATTCTAGTTTGGAGCAACTGATCATCCGAGTAATAAATCCCAGGGACAAAGATAGAAGGACAGAAGGCTAACTGCTCATTCTCAGCAAAGAAGTTATCAATGTTTTTGTTCAAAACCATTCGACCCACCGGCTGCAAGGGGAAGATATCCTCCGGCCAGGTCTTGGTCACATCAAATGGATCAAAATCGGACCTATCCTCATCAGCAGGATCCATTATCTGAATGAAAAGCTTCCACTCGGGATAGCTTCCAGCTGCAATGGAGTCATAGAGACCTTGTGTGACATGACTGTGATTAGCTCCACCAACTCTCACGGCCTCATCCCCCAGCAGGTTTTTGACACCACAATTTGGTTTCCAGTGGAATTTCACGTAGTGTGACTTCCCAGCCTTGTTGATGAGTGTGTAGGTATGAACACCAGAGCCATCCATGTGCCTGTAGTCCTGGGGAATGCCTATGTCGTCGAATAGGAAGGTGAACATGTGCAGGCTTTCGGGATGGTGGGAGAAGAAGTCCTGGATCCTCCAGTTTTCTTGAATGTGGGACTTGGGGTTTGGTTTGAGGGCGTGGACCATGTCAGGGAACTTCATTCCATCACGGATGAAAAAAACTGGGAAATTGTTTCCCACCATGTCAAAGTTACCCTGGTTAAACATCAAGCAACAGTGTCTTTAGCATTACATATTAATAAAACACTTTCTACGACTACAAGTAATTTTGATGGCAAAAATCTTTCTTATATCAAGTACTTAGACATAAGTACTGTCAATCGCACAAACAATATTTCTTTTTAATTTACTGATTACAAGTTAATAAATATATATATAGTCTACAGACGCAATTATTCAAACCCAAATCTTTTAAGAGAATACTAAATTATACCTAAATGATAAATCCCACCTCTACATGATTTGAACTTATGAAAATATGACATTACTTTGAGTAAGCAGAACGTATTTTAAAATTTCTTTACCTCCCGAGTGTAGAATTTCACAGCAAAACCTCGAGGGTCTCTCAGAGTTTCAGGACTACCAAGTTCATGGATAACAGTGGAAAATCGGACAATCAGTGGAGTCTGGACCCCAGGTGCAAGAAGGAAGTCAGCACATGTGAGGTGCGATATGTCGTGAGTGACCTCGAAGAACCCTTTTGCACTAGCTCCTCTTGCATGGACAACACGTTCCGGAATGAGTTCCCTATCAAAATTAGCAAGCTTTTCCACCAAATGATAGTCTTCCAGGAGAATCGGACCTGAGCTGGCTCAAGCGAGCGTTGTTGGAGATTTCCTATAACTGTCGCGAAATTTAATAGTATAGGCAGTCCCACAACAACTTCGATTTGGGTTATAAATTCAGTTCATATAATAATCCACAACAGCTGTTTGTTTTTACAAGTGTTTTAGTCCATAGGTTTGGACCCATATTTAATATTACAGTTTCCCATATTGCAAGACCAAAATTCAAGGTCTTCCTCCTACATTTTAATGTCTTTTATCTCTACACATTATTATATGTCATTTTATAATTATAAATTATTTGCAAAGAAAGAAAGGAAAAAAACTCTTTTCTTTTATATGTGTGCGTAGCGTGTAGAAAGTAAGCAATATTAAGAATTGAAGCATATGACGCCATGCCCCTATATATATAATATAGTCCTTACTTGCAATAAATGGTTTTTTATTAATTGAACTGCTGTAAAAATATTCAAGCGAGTGTTGAGATTTCCTATCACTGTCGCGAAATTTAATATTCAAGCGTATTCTTAATTGAACTGCTGTAAAAATATTCAAGCGAGTGTTGACATTTTTTAGATGATAATTAATTACTATTTATTTATTTTAATAAAAAATTAATATTAATTTTATACTATATATTTTTTTATAATTTTTTTAAAATTAGAAGCCTATTTTTTTATTTTGCCCCGGGCCTTCTCCTATGTTTTGCTAATAATCGACCCAAAGCTTCAATTTTTGTAGTTGAACATGGTGTACAAATGAACAAGCATGTAATAGGCACACACAAAACACCAAGTATCGGATTAGTTACCTCTTGCTCCGACGGTGAGTGATGTGTTGTTGTTCCAAACCGGAGCCCCAGAATTGGTGGTCCAGAATGGGGAATTGAAGGCACTTGAGGGACGATGCTGTATAAAATAAAAAGAAGAAGATGTAGTTTTGTTAGATATAATTCCCACCCAAAAGAAAGAAAAATGGAACTTCACCTCAAGGTGACAATTTCGGCCGAGTAATTTTCTCAACTAGTCGTTTATAACAGTTGGATGTAAGGTTATAAATAGGGGTTTGAGGTTTTGGTTTCTCACCAAACCCTAAATCCGAAAAACTTATAAAAAAATATATCTTCTGTCAAAATCTCAAAAAAATAGCAACCCGAGAATATATGTTGCACCTGGATAACGTCCATGTTTAATCAATCGTATGTCGATCGAATGATGAATGGAATATTCGTAAGCACGGGATGACATGAAGAGCCCTGCATCAGCAGACTGTGATATATCTACAGCAATCCGGTTTATTTTCGGCCATATTTGTGCGTGTCTTCAAACTGTACCTGGCATTGATTGAGGCTCTGGTCGAACGTTGGCAGCTCGAGACACACACGTTCCATTTCCCAGTGGTGAAGCGACGATTACTTTGGAAGAAGTCGTTTACCAACTTGGTGTTCCTGTGAATGGAGCCCCCTTGGTGAGTCAGAATGTAACTCCCCCAACCCGTATCCGACCCGTATATGAGTCTGATGTGTCACATTGACTTTTCAAATCATTTTTCTTATATAAAATAGAGGAAATTTCAGATTTAAATTAAACATACGAAATAATTTACATAAATAAATTCACAAAGTTTACAAAAACTGTTCAAAGCTTATACAATTTAGTTCTTTAAATACATGCCAACTCTATATAATACAACCGAGAAACATACTGTTAATTCTTCTAATCTGATCTTTGCTGAAGTACGTTGTCTCCACTGTCTATCTTCTCTTTATAACTTCTCGGACCCTACGTGTGAAACACTCATACGCCAAGTTATAGACTTAGTGAGACATAAAAATATAACAATGCATTTCCTATAAATATGAACTTGCAATCTAACTATCCAAATACAATTATACTTATCATATCATACAAAAGCATATATCATTTCATATAACAAATACACACTCGTACATATATCATCATCTTCATTCTTAGCATTATCTTTAATTCCTTTTATCATATAATCCTATACTCATCATTTATACACATCAAATGTCACACATATCACCTCACAAGGAACAAATATATTATTATATCAGGTTTATTTATATTATCTCTTTATTAGCCCATGTAAAAATGTGAGAACTAAAGATATGTGAGTACATAGAGGTTGTGTACATATGTTGTCACCACACCTCGTATAATTCCCACTAGGGGCACTTAAAATTTGTCCCGAATGACCACTCCTTAAGAACCATATACATATTCCAATTGACCAAATAAGTGTACCGAAGTACCTCATATATGTTCGAAAGGATTACATATGTGTCCCGAAGGACCACGTAGAACCCTCGACTCTTGGCATGCCAACTATACCTCTAGTTCTCAGGACACATAACATGGGCATTATCTTTTATCATTTCACATATTCACATATTCATATCACATAAACTCATAGCTTCTTATCACATAGATCATATAACATTTTCGTATGATTTCATAGCTTATTTAACTTTCTTATGAAATCATTTATATCATATAGTTTATACTTTGTTCTCTTATGTTCAGATATATCATGTAACATATATGATCACATGTTCATACAATTCCTTATGTCCCTATTGTCATATATATATATATATATATATATATATATATATATATATATATATATATATATATATATATATATATATATATATATATATATATATCATATCATATCACATATATTCAACACATTAACATGTATTCATGCAATCATGTAACATATATAATCTCATATAGCACATATATTCATATCAAACATATGCTCATGTTCATGAATTCATACATACTACTATAGGAAATAGACTCATCGCAAGTCATATTTCCATTTAACATCATACATCACTAGTATGCACTCACCTTAGCCTCACTTGATATCGATTACTTCTATGACTTGATTTCCCTTTCTTGATTGATTCTAACTTTTTGGTCATTCCGCAACTTTCTTGTGCTCGATATCTACAAAATCATACATTTCAAGTATTATAATTTAATCCTTAATTTTTTAAGGTAGAAGAAAGGTTTAATTTCATTTTTTCATTTGAAGTAGTATCGGTACCCAAGGTATGGTACCGATTCTTCCCTAGATGTAATATCGATACCAATCCGGGTATCGATACTCATTTTGCATTCGAAGTTCTTGTTTCAAAAATGGTACCGATACTATCCTTATGGTATCGGTACCCTTGGTATTGATACTACCTTCCAGGTATCGATACTCATGAATGCCTTTGTCATATTTAGACTTATGGTATCGATAATGTTCAACTAGTGTCGATACCCCTATACCCAATATCGCTATTTTACTCTTGAAGTATCGATACTGGATGAAGCAGTACCGATACTCAAAGCCCATATTTCACTATTAAACCCGAAAATTCACTTTTATCAGCTCAAACATCTGATGTCTTAATCCCTTTCCTGTTCTTAACTCAAGTACACATACTTAAACCAATTTCTATTCATTCAACACATCCTTATCCTCAAATCTCATCCTCTACATAGAAATCAATAATCATACCAAATTTCCAACATGTTCTAATTTCAATTCTATCACTTCATATTTCTCAATTCAACTATTGACAAGTCAAATTTATCTTCTAAATTCCTTAACTCCTTCTTTTCCACAAATTCACTTAAAACCCCATTTACTAATTCACTCATAACTTATCCATCTTTTAGTTTTAGACCATCTTAAGCTTTCTTTAATCTTTCTTAACACCTCAAGGATCAAAAACATCACTAAAGTATAAAGAATAATCCATTAGAAAAATTCTTACCTTGCTATGGAGCTCATGGGAAAAAAAGTGGAAAGATGAAGAGAGTCTAGAAATGTCTGATTTTTCCTTTTCCTTAACTCCACGTGTGCATGAATTTTTAATTTATTTACTTGCTAAATGACAATAATGCCCCTCCAACATCCATTATTTACTAATCAATCTTACTCAATTAATTTCCAAATAAATCCTTAAACTTTTCAAATATTTTGAAATTAGACCCAAAGTTCCAAAATATTACAATTTAGTCACTATTTTGTTTTTAGGATATTACAAATCTCCCATCCTTTTAAGAAAATTTGTCCTCAAATTTGCAATTCACCACGAGATGGAGCAATCTTTTATATAATACTTAACACATCTTAGATTACTCTTGTTACTAACCTTATTCTCATATTATATACAAATTCAATATAACTTATTCACTTGAAAACCATGCTTTACTAATTAATCTCTAACAGTTCATTACCTATTGTTTCGAATCAAATCTTTTAATTCTCCCTCTTATTGCCACTAGCATACAACTATATTGATCTCAAATCTATTAAACCAAAACTACTTTACCACATTATTGAAATTTACCTGCAATAATCTCTAGATCCTTGAAATTTTCATCTGTCTCTAAATTATAAACCCGAGCAGTTGTAGGCATATCATGTTGAGTAGATAACTCAGTCTGATTTCTTCCCCGACCTCCACCCTTACTTCTTTGAGATACCGTAACAGATTGTTCTCTCTGTACAGTTTCCACATTCAATAACGGAAAATCTAGAATAAAATGTCTCATATTGCCACATTTAAAACAGGCTCATGAAATTACTCTACATACTTTTGTATGATTCTTTCCACAATGTGAACATTACCTTGATTGACTTATATTTGATCTTTTAGCAAAAGATGCAGCTGATTCAAACATATCCTGAGTTAGAGAATTTAAATCTCTACTTTTCTTTGATGGCGATGAACTCAATGAAGTACCAACTCTCTTAGACTTCTGAACTTTCTGCTCTTTAAACCTCTCGTTCTGAGCTCTCTCTAAAGCTTTAGCTCGATTAACCACCTATTAAAATGATGACAAATTTAAAACTAACAATAACTCTTTTAGTCTAGGGCGCAAGCCCTCCACAAACTAATCACAAACATCCTTTTCAGTAGGAATGAGTTCAGCAGCGAAACGACTTAACTTATTAAATTCACATTCATATTCATACACCATATAATCTCCTTATTTCAAGTTCAGAAATTCTTGCTTCATTTGCCTAATAAACTGATCATCAATGTACTTGTACTTGAATTTTTCTAAGAAGAATGACTATGTCACGTAATCGCTTCTCAATCTCATGGAGACATTTGTCCACCATACTCTAGTTTGTCCACGTAACAACGAAATTATTCCATCTAATTTCTCCACTTCAGGGCAATGGAGTCCATCTAACATTATCTTAACATCATTCAACCAAAGATTTGCAACAACAAGATCTTCCTCAGCTTCACCCTTGAACTCGGATGCTCCTAAACCTTTCAATTCCTTAGCTATATTCCTTGATCTCGTACTGATACTACTGGAGGTGTTCGTTCTTCACCATGCCTGACCAGGGCAGGTGAATTGCTACTACCTTCTGGTCTATCACTTCTCCTATCACTTCGGGAACTCTCACGATCAGACATCTAAGACATGACCATATAGCTCTATTAGAAGAAAACATACTCATGACTTTATCAAATCAAAAACTTTCATTTTTTATTGGAATGTATACATTTTTAAAACACTTTTGACTTCGGTTTAAGCCTAGAATCGACTAAACCTTAGCTCTGATAGCATTAAATGTAACACCCAACACTCGTATCTAATATGTATACGAGTACGAGGTGTCACATTGACTTTTCAAATCATTTTTCTTATATAAAATAGAGGAAATTTCATATTTAAATTAAACATACGAAATAATTTACATAAATAAATTCACAAAGTTTACAAAAACTGTTTAGAGCTTATACAATTTAGTTCTTTAAATATATTCCAACTCTATATAATACAATCGAGAAACATACTGTTAATTCTTCTAATCTGATCATTGCTGAAGTACGTTATCTCCACTATCTATCTTCTCTTTATAACTTCTCGGACCCTGCGTGTGAAACACTCACACGCTAAGTCATAGACTTAGTGAGGTATAAAAATATAACAATGCATTTCCTATAAATATGAACTTGCAATCTAACTATCCAAATACAATTATACTTATCATATCATACAAAAGCATATATCCTTTCATATAAAAAAAATACACATTCGTACATATATCATCATCTTCATTCTTAGCATTATCTTTAATTTCTTTTATCATATAATCATATACTCATCATTTATACACATCATATATCACACATATCACCTCACAAGGAACAAACATATTATTATACCAAGTTTATTTATATTATCTCTTTATTAGCCCATGTACACATGTGAGAACTAAAGATATGTGAGTACATAGAGGTTGTGCACATATGCTGTCACTACAGCTCGTATAATTCCCATTAGAAAAATTCTTACCTTGCTATGGAGCTCAAGGGAAGAAGAGTGGAAAGATGAAGAAAGTCTAGAAATGTCTGATTTTTCCTTTTCCATAACTCCACATGGATAAATAACCCCCCATGCATGAATTTTTAATTTATTTACTTGCTAAATGACAATAATACCCCTCCAACATCCATTATTTACTAATCAATCGTACTCAATTAGTTTCTAAATAAATCCTTAAAATTTTTGAATATTTTGAAATTAGACCCAAAGTTCCAAAATCTTATAATTTAGTCACTACTTGATTTTTATGATGTTACATAAAACATGTACGACCTCACATCGTTAGTGTACCAAGTTTTGCGAAAATGACCACAATCCGACGTCGGCTTTTGGGTACGAATAACATGGTTGGAATCGAAATTCCAAGTGACGAACGAGTCTACTAAGGAGGAGGTTATTTTCGCGTATCGAGCATCTTTTCCAACTAATCGGAGGGGTATTATTACCAGATAAATCCGGTAATTTAGTGCACACTCAATATCTGTGATATTTGAAAGACTTCGCTGTGTGTCGTAATACCAGTTGGGGCTCAGCGATTTCTGCCTTTCTGTACCGAGAGCTTTGCAAGGTTGCAATTGTCCAGTCAGGTTAAAAATCGATGTCATCGGCTGTCTTATACTGCTACAATCGTGGGCTTGGTATCGATTCCCATTTATGATGCCAATTACAACAGCCACTTTCGCGTTTACTCTGACTGCAAGATAATTATTTTTTTATGATTTTTCTGAATTTCATAAATTTAATTATTTTTTATTTGTTTATAATATTTTTTATTTTTAAAAATTTTAGATGGCATCATAAAATATCCGAGACGAAGTTGACGGTGCCATTGCACGAGATATACGGATGAGGATCGACATCGGTGGTCGATATGCAATATGACATACGATTTTTTTTATTTTTTACTTTTTGAATTTTTTTAACTTTATATATATTAATTTTGCTATTTAATATTTATAGTTCTCTTAGCTTCTGTATGTTAACGAGAAGATCAACCAGTTATTGCTAATGGGATTTTTGAGGGGTCCTACTTATGGTGTGTTGTGATGCTGTTATTGCATTATGCGATTGTTGACTGGCACACTGTTGATAAAGTGATGCAACAGTTTGCTTCGCATCAGTCAATTCCTACGCAGATGGTTGATATAGATGAGCTCTATAGAATTGATACGCATGAGAAACATACTGAAAATTAGCCAATGAAACACACTATATACGTCGATGCGTGGAATCAGCGGTGAACAAACGCTCCCCTCGTATCTCGACATTACACTGATTGACCTAGATTTTGACTATTCTCCCTATCTTCAAAATTATGAAGCAAATGGGAAACTATATCTCATGACGCCAGAAGAGATGGGAGAATAAGAACATCATTATGCCATATATGCCAAGTCCAAGTCCAAGATGAAAGCATCGTCGTATTCTTCTTCTGCTTCAGCATCTGCAACTGAAGAGTACTATTACACATCTCAGGCTAGTTTCAGTTTCTATCCTCCATTTCATACTTCATCCGAGACTCGATCAAATTGGGTTAGAGGTTCATGTGATGCATTACAGTACACTCAAGCATCTTCGACAAAATATGTAGTTGCAGGTGAGTGGGACCACATCCTATATGATCAACAAAGTAGAAGTCAAGTCGAAGCAGTTACGACAATGATGACTTCAAATGTCATAAATCAATCACCACATTTCGAAAGTGGATCGCAAAGTGTGTTAAATACACCTTGGTAAGACGACGAAGGCGATGAAAGCCTACGACCCCAACGTGCTCGATGAGCACCGCGACATTATCATTCGACAACTCCGCGACATCGTCAAGAACTTAAGAAATATAAATAAAATTTCTTTGTAAATATTTATTTTTTCAATTATTTAATTACTTTGTATTTTTTAAAATATAAATAAATTTATTTTTATTTTATAATTTATACTTTTTATTTTATTTTTTTAATTTAAATTTTTTTAAAAACTCGTCACGTCGAGGTGTCGAATCATTTTAATGATAATAAAATAATGGTTGGGAACACTTTAAAAATAATATTTTCAGGAACTTATCACCTCAAGGTGACGAATTCATATTTATTGTAGAGAATATCGTAATTTCTAAAATAAAGTTCATGTTGACCCAATACCCTAAATAATTAACCCATTATTTGAGGTATTGGGAAAAAACCTTAAATTAATCTATTGAGGACCTCCAACAAGCGGAGTCCATAGGGATTTCAGCCCAAAGACGCCTCCCAAATCTAAATAAGTACTAAACAAAAATGGCAGCTCACTCGAAACTCGAAAGATGACAACCCTTTCCCCTTGATTGGGTTCTTCAAGATTTAAACAGCCGGCCGGGCACCAGGGAGCATACTGGCAACGACACTCAGACATAATACGGCCTAACTTAGATACCCATGTCTATGTTTATGAGAGCCAAAAAGTCCTTCTCCACTTCTCTCAAATCCTTGACTCGCTTTCAGGTCTCTCCATGTTTTTCTTTTGCCTGTCTTTGGTTTTGGTTGTGGCAATTCGTCGAATATCTTTTCAACATATAACCAACTCTTACTAGCTTTTTTTTTTCCGGCTAAGAGGTGCAACCACACCACGCTAGGCGAAAGAAGTTTGCAAGCTGAATTATATTCTAAAATGGCTCCAGCGGCTAATCCCACTCTTCCATCAAGTATCACACTATGCCTAATTTAACCTTCCGTTCAGCATTTCTTTTTCAATCATTATCTGGGAATTGAAACCCCCGATTCTTATTAAAAGTTGATGTAGTTGACACGTCAAAATGGAAGAAAATCCAAGCAAGCAAGGTGGGGATATCTTCCTCTATGATTTCGCATCCACCATGGATTGTATTAGATACTCTTCATAAAGGAGGTAATCATCTTTCATGTTACCCATTTGTTTTTATTAATTGCTTCACATTGCCAAGGTCTCGTCAATTTAGGGTCTTTAAGCTGAAAATTGCCAAGGTCTCGTCAAGTTTATTTTGCTTCGCTAGTTTACTCATTTGGTTACATTTTTTTAGTCGAAAGCAATGCTAATAGTTATATTTTCCTTACATATTTCAGGTTTTGAGGCTTATTTAGTTGGCGGCTGTGTTAGAGATTTACTACTAAATAGAATACCTAAAGATTTTGATGTGATAACCACTGCAAATCTTGAGCAGGTTTGGTCACAATCTTCTTGGTATTCTTCTTTAGAATTTACAGGGGAATGCGGGTTGATTATAAAAGTTTTCTGTTTCCATTTGTAATATCGTACTACAGATAAGAAAGAAATTTCGTCGAGCTGTGATTGTTGGACGAAGATTTCCAATATGCATGGTGCATGTAAAAGGTTCTATAGTTGAGGTCAATTTCTTGATTTATTACTATGGTAGCTTCTTGTGTTACTTCTGGAATAGAATGGCCTTGGTAGGGAGAAGTTTCTTAATATGTAATATTGATTTTGTATGTTCTAATAGGTATCAAGCTTTGAGACAGTTGCAAAACATAATAAAGGAAAAGAAAAATCCTTACCATCTTTAATCCCAAAAAGATGCGATAAAAAAGACTTAATCCGCTGGAGAAACAGCAGGGTTCGGGACTTCACTATTAACAGGTATTGGTTCTCTTGTATGTTTATTCCATGGAAAGAGCTATTGTAGTCCATATATTAGCTTGTTAAGACCTCACTTTCTCATCTTCCCCATGAGTTTGATGCCATCTGGTTGATAATGATTCTGATTGAATTCTGGGTGCAGCTTATTTTTTGACCCTTTTACGTGTAACATCTACGATTACAACGATGGAATGTCAGACCTGAAGTTGTTAAAGGTGGTTCTTCACCTCTGCCAATAACAATTTTGTGTTTCATAACCTCCACTAATGTTTACCCTCTGACTCTTTTATTTGGTGTGTTGACTCAGCTACGGACGTTAATCCCTGCCCATGTGTCGTTTCAAGAGGACTGTGGTAGGTGATTTTAACTTTATTGAGTGCAGAATCTTATATGTTTTTTGGATGGATGAACTGCTACGTTATGAGACATTAATGGAAATTTACTGCAATTTTTTTGACCTAGCAAGAATTCTCCGGGGCTTAAGAATTGCATCTCGTCTGCACTTGTCAATTTCAGAGGATACTGAGAGAGCAATGCACGATCTTTCGGCCTCCATTGAGGGATTAGATAAGGTAGTTCATAATTATAAGTTGAGAACTTTCTACTGCCTTGATATTTTCTCTTTCCCTTTTCTCACTTGCTCTAGCTGTCTCTCTCTCCCCGTCTGTGACTGTGATTCTTTCCTTGCCTCCCTTTCTGGTACTGTTCAGATTTGTTCTTGGTAAGCCTCAACTAGGCCCAAAGAACCAACCATACTGTGGCTAATTTACAGCCCTTTGCCTTTGGATCCTTATCTTTTTTGGTGTAAAATTAAGGCGATTTTATCAATATTTACCTACCTTTTATCATCATAATGTTCTTCATTTATCCAGGGCAGATTAGTGATGGAAATGAACTACATGCTGTCATATGGAGCTGCTGTGCCATCCATCTGCTTGCTCGGGAGATTTAACCTCCTGAACATTTTACTTCCATTTCAGGTTCACACATTTTTAGCTTATGATTGTTCATAATTTTACTTATTGTCTATGTAGAGATTAGCTGAGACTTGTTTGCTTCACAGGCAGCATACATTAATCTACAGAGATCTGCCAAGAATTCAATGATGCTGATGGTGAGCTTGGTTTTAGGTTTTGTATTTCTAACATTGCTGATGAAGTAGTCCTTATTTTTAGCATGAAGGGATTATGAAATTTTGTTTTGCTATTCGAATCAAATTGGCTTTGTCAGAACTGTTTACCTACTTTTGGGACAATATAAATTCTCTGTATTAGAAGTATTTGGAATTCAAAGTGATTTAGAGATATTAGTGCACTCTCTTGATATTCTCACCCAGTATATATTAATAGTTGTCTAGAATGTTAAGGTTTATCTTATAGAAAGAGCAATCTGAATGCTTTTCGAGTTATGACAACAATTTGATATAGTTATGACAACAATTTATTAACTGTAAAATATAATCTTTTATTATGCTTAGGTGGTCAGTATGCTCAGCATGAAAATTTGATATAGTTTTGACATAATTTCGAGAAAAATTTCAAAATATTATTCCAGCCAATATGATACTTCCAAAGAATGAAATACTTTCCACTGGCTTTGCATGCCTATGACCTTTAATAAGGTCTTTCAAACACTAGAATTTAATCTTGATGGTTTGACTTCCCGAATCTTTTTCTTGTGTTTTTGGCAGAAACTATTCTTCAATTTGGATAAGTTGGTTTCTTGTGATCATCCTGCCGATAGCAGTCTATGGTGAGCTACTTGTCACTTTTTTTTGTTCTCAAGCATAGAATATCGTAAGACTTCTTCTTTATCGTTATCATTATCATTATCAATAAACTCTTGGCTATTAAAGAGTGGTTAGACTTCCTTTTAGTTTACTGGAAAGTGGAAATTGGGTTGGAAATATTATCGCCAAGATGAATGAGCATATATGCTTGGAAATATTTTTGCTTTGCATATGATGGTTCATATTAAGAGGAATTATCATAATATGTAAATTCAAGGAATTGGTGGTTGGTAAAGTGGATTTTCTTGTTATCATGTATTTCAGTATCTGAGATGTCCCTAATCATTTCTTTTCTGCATAGAACAGGGTTGGATTGTTGATGTTTCACCTGGCATTGGTAAACAACCCTCAAGATGCTCTTGTTGTCTGGACCTTTGCTTCTGTTCTATATCATGGAAATTGGAAGTCAGGCGTTGAATTTGCAAGAGAACTCGGTATATCAGAAGTTAAATTTGTTCCTGAAATCTCAGGATTTTCAGAATCTAAATCAGATGAAGATCTTGCCAAAGAAGTTGCCCAGTTTGCATCTTTAGTGCAAGATTCTGTATGGACATTAACAAAGACTAGTAATCTGCTTGAATCAATGTCAAGATATCCGTTTTCTCCATGCTCTGGTTTGGTAAGTGCCTTTGACATCCACTCCATTGAAGTTTTAGTTTTCTTGTCAACGAGACGTGTTTACGTTTTCCATGTTGAAGATAAATTAACCTGCCATCAGAAATGATTTGGTTATGGTTTTGTTTTCTCGCATTGTTCTGGTACACAAACTTATCGTATAAGTATCTTCTTTTAGTAAACATGTTTTTATTTTTCCAGGTGTTTATACCAAAGAGTACTGCAAAGAACACTGCTAAACTTTTTGACCGGATAGTAGAAGATATTAGATTTTTTTCAAAAGGAAGAAGGAGAAAAAGTCCTGAGATTAACTATTACCTGCTTGGGAAAGGGGATCCCTGCGAGACAAGATATGCGCTTGGCAAAATTATTTTAGAAACAATGAAGGCTGGTCCCTGTGCAGATGCAGCAGAGATAATCACTGACGAGAAAGACGGCCTACAACCTAAGTTAAGTGGTGAAATTTTGACCAATAATCAATCTCCAATGAAGAAGGATAAAAGACGTGCCCCATCCTTATCTAATTCCGATGGCAAGGGAAGGATGCCGAAGAAGCAAAAACTGGCTGAGACAAACCAGAATCCTTCTAATTCATATTCTAAAAAGAACCGGAAAGTGGTCGCGAAAGATGAGCTGCATGGCCAAGAAGCAACAGAAGTTAAAGAAGACGAGCAAAATTTCAAATTCCAAGGTAAACTCAATCCAAGGAAACATATCGGAGAAGAAAGCAGGTGATTTACGGGGTCGGGCAGTGGTAAAAAGGAGTCGAATAGCAAAACCACCAACTAATTAATGATTTAAATGCTGAAACACCAGATTCCTCCAGATGTAGCAAAGGGGAAAAGGGAAGAAGAAAAGGAACATGAGAAGAGAGCAAGCACAAGTCTTAAAATGCCGCAATATCTTTATGAGCTTTGTAAAGTATTTGAAATTAGATAAAGAGTTCAAGTTTAATTTTTGCTCTTTAAAGTTTAACATATACTAATACTTGTTTAGAAAAATAATAAAATTTATTATTATTTTCAATAGAAATATATCTTTTTGAAAGTTTGTCAATAAAAACATCCTCTTTGTAATATTAGGTATAATATAATTTCTTGCGTCCCACGCATTGGAAATCCATTAATACGACCAAAAAAAGTGGGTTGGGGGGAGAAACAACCCCAAAACAAATCTGAACTCAAGTAACTCGAAAACGACACCGTTGTGTCGGTCCACTTCTCACCAACTTCAAGTTGGCAACAGCCGCAGTATCATCGGATCGTTTTCTCGTAGAGGTGAAGCAGCCAAAGCCAATAGAAAAAATGCAAGCTCTATAAATACTTCCCATTTGCTTTCAGATCTTTGCCACCAACCTCCTCACCCCCTCAAGCATGTTAGCCTCCTCTGAGAAAATCTACATCCATGGCGGCAACACCCTTAACTAACCCACACACCCCTCTCCTCCAAAAGACCCATCAAAGCCATGCCTTTCTCAAACCCAAAACCACCTTCCATTATGGAACCTCGTCCAAGCCCTTCTCCATCTCTTGTTCATCCACCATTCAAGGTCGCCCTTCACTCCGATCCCATTCTCAAGATCGGATCTTTAACTTCGCCGCTGGTCCCGCCACCTTGCCCGAGAACGTCCTCCTCAAGGCCCAAGCCGAGCTTTACAACTGGCGCGGATCTGGCATGAGCGTCATGGAAATGAGCCACCGCGGGAAGGATTTCCGTTCCATTATCGAGAAAGCCGAGGCCGATCTACGTGCGCTTCTCAACATCCCCGAAGACTACGCCGTTTTGTTCCTCCAAGGTGGGGCGACCACCCAGTTCGCTTCTGTTCCTTTGAATCTCTGTCAGCCTGATGACGCCGTTGATTATCTTGTTACTGGTTCGTGGGGAGACAAGGCTTTCAAAGAAGCTAAGAAATACTGCAAGCCCAAAGTCGTTTGGAATGGGAAATCGGAGAATTACGTGAGGGTTCCCTCGTTTGATGGTTTGGAACTAAGCCCGAATGCCAAGTATTTGCATTTATGCGCCAATGAGACTATTTATGGGGTTGAGTTCAAGAATTATCCGGTTCCCGGCAATCCAAATGGGGTTCTCGTAGCTGATATGTCTTCAAATTTCTGTTCCAAACCCTTTGATGTAACCAAGTTTGGGTTGATTTATGCCGGTGCGCAGAAGAATGTGGGGCCATCAGGTGTTTGCATCGTGATCGTGAGGAAATATCTTATAGGAAATGCACAAGAGATTACCCCTGTGATGCTTGATTACAAGATCCACGCCGACAACAACTCTTTGTATAACACACCCTCCCTGTTTCGGGATCTATATGTGTGGGCTGGTGTTTGAAGATCTTTTGGAGCAGGGAGGACTGAAGGAGGTTGAGAAGAAGAATGAAAGGAAAGCCGGCGTTTTGTACAATGCCATTGATGAAAGCAAGGGGTTCTACAGGTGCCCTGTCGAGAAATCTGTGAGGTCTCTGATGAATGTTCCGTTCACTTTGGAGAAGTCCGAGTTGGAGGGCGAGTTTTTGAAGGAAGCTGAGAAGGAGAAGATGGTGCAGCTCAAGGGGCATAGATCGGTAGGAGGTATGCGAGCTTCCATTTACAATGCTATGTCTTTGGCTGGAGTTGAGAAGCTGGTTTCTTTTCATGAAGGATTTCCAGGCAAAGCATACTTGATTCATGACTCTTTGTATATAACTGCTATCGTTCTCTTATGTTTGTGCACACATTTTATGTTTTTGCTTTGGTTCGATTTCGGTAGGACTTAAGTACTATTGATGATAAATTGCAAGCTATCATGTGTCTTGTCTGGGAAAACGCTTAAAGTTCCCAAGCAGGGGAATTTTAGCAAGATTTTTGTAATAGATTGTGGACATGATTTGCTTGTTCAATGTCACATTCAGATTCTTAGGTGCACCAAATTTATTAAGTATAATAAATCGCTTGAATTTTGATGTTTATGTATTCCATAATCAATTGCACCGCATCATTCAAGTTCATATGCAAATAGGAGCAATCTCAGAGGAAATTTTGGTGAGATTCAACACGTAATCAGTGGTAAGTATAACTTGGATTGCATCTGCAGCATGTTATGTTTTGTTCTCATTCAACTGAAGAATTTCTATATTTATGAAAATGAAAATCTTGAGAAGGTTAGTCTTAGCGGAACATTGATAGAGGTGCCATAGGGTTGTTGCTCTTGAGCATCTTTGGTTGCACAGATATAAATGATGCCACAAAGTAGTAGGATGTTCTTCAGTAATCTAAATGAAATAACCTTTTATGAACTTAACTAAGCCTGACCCCAAGGTCAAAATTTCCATGAAAATGACTATCTTAGCTCCCATGCAAACTTGACGCTTTACGTTGAGAACAATAAACCAGAACAATGTAAGAGAAACAAGAACAAAGTAAAAACAACAAGCACACAGAAGTTTCTTGGGTGTCAAGACTTCATTTTTAGAGAATTTAGATCTTGACTGTGAGAGTTTCAGCAGAGAAGGTCTAACTATCGTTTGGGATCTTGACCATCAACATGGAAAACAAAGAAAAATCAATAGTCTATGTCTAGCCGGAGACCAAATTTCACATTAATTAGTAAATTCTTCAAAGTACTTGAATAGTAACTTTGTTTTCCTTTAGAAATTTGTTTAATTTTTGTAAATTAGCCGATAAATTCACATTCTGAAAGCTGTATTCTGCTTTGTTTGGCACGTTTGTAATCTGAAAACCGTTAAATTTCAAGTAAATCCCACCATCACCTTCTAAATATCCGTACATTAAGGGGGGGGGGGGGAAAAAGGAAACATGGCCTTGTCTGCATTGGATCACTGCTCTGCCAGATATTTTTCAATTATTCTCTTGCTTTTCAATGACCGTCTTGCTTTTCTTCGCTATAAGTATAGAGAGAGCATAACCAAGACTCTCATTCTCTCCATTCCTATAACCCGACCCAATGGCCCGAAGATCCATGCCCATCCTCCGACAACTCCGGAACTTCCCATCTTCTATTATCACACCCACTCGATCCGTCACCTACATGCCCCGCCCTGGCGACGGTGCTCCCCGAGCCGTCACCTTGATCCCTGGTGACGGGATCGGCCCTATGGTGACGGGTGCGGTGGAGCAGGTGATGCATGCGCCTGTGTATTTCGAGCGATACGAGGTTCACGGAGACATGGATCGCGTGCCTGAAGAAGTGATCCAGTCAATTAAGAAGAACAAGGTTTGTCTAAAAGGAGGATTGGCTACGCCGATGGGAGGAGGTGTCAGCTCGGTTAACGTCCAGCTAAGAAGAGAGCTCGATTTGTACGCTTCGCTTGTCAATAGCTTCAATTTGCCTGGCTTGCCTACAAGGCACCAGGATGCTGATATCGTGGTGATTAGAGAGAACGCTGAAGGCGAGTACTCTGGCCTCGAACACGAGGTCGTCCCTGGAGTCGTCGAGAGCCTTAAGTTACTCCATTTTACTCCACATGCTGCTAATTCTGAACAACAATTTAGACCAGTTTTATTTCATTTTATGTATGTCTCATACTACTTGATTGCTAGTTGATAACAAAGTTCTGCTCGGAGCGGATTGTAAAATATGCATTCGAATATGCTTATTTGAACAATAGAAAGAAAGTGACGGCAATTTTCCCAATAAATCACCAGTGATCGGTATATTTATCGATCTAACACCGGTCAGATTATATTTCCCGATATAACACCCGTAGCAATAAAGCGCGCCCCCCTGAACCGAGTTATACGTTGATTTGGCGCCACGTGGGTATAGCGCGCCCCCTGATCCGCGCTATACCCCTAAATACTCATTCCTTCACGTCCCCATCCTCCCTATAAATACCTCATCCTCAATCACTTTTATCACTTATCACACCAAATTCTCTCAAATTCTCTAAATTCCTCAATCACTTTTATCACGACGATGACGACGATGACGATGGCGACGACGACGATGATGACAGCGATGAGTCAGAACCATTGATACGAAGAAATCCTCCTCGAGACCGACAGCCACCGCCCTGCGGAACACATTCGCGACGCAGGCATCGATAGATTTTTTTTATTATATTTGTATTTACTTTATTTTGTTTAATTGTAATTTTTTATTATTTCTCATTTAATACTTACTTTATTTTGTTAAATTTGTTGGACTTTTTTTTAATATATTTCAGTTAATTTTGTTTATTACCATTTAATATCAGTTATTGTAATTTGGTTATCATTTACCATTTAATTCTTATTGTAAGTTTGTTGTATTTAAATACCAAATTGTTATTAGTTTGATAAAATTTAATGACTGTGTTCGTTTTTTTAATCTTCATCAGCGATTATCGAATGACATTAACTTGAAGTAAATACAAATTAAAATACAAGAATTATTATTTGATAAACAAATACATCATTTTCCTCATCAATTGTTACTTGATTACAACAGAAGTGGACATGTTTTTCTAGTGTGTCCTGGGTTTCTACAATGGCCACATCTTCTGTCTTGTCTAGATCTTTCTCGAATTTTCATATCGCAATGAATTCGATTGGATTTTGGACTACCACGCTCCCTCAATAAACTCGGATTTGGTACAATCGGAAGCCAATCTTGAACCTCATCAGGGTCTTTGTCATTACTTATGGGGGAAACTCAAATTCGTATACCTTAAAAACTTCAGATAGTAGGTATACGGGATCCACAAAATGGTTATAGTCTTGACGTGTATGCGAGCAAGCTGCTATCACATGAGAGCATGGATACTTCAGAGCTTGAAAAAACCCGCAGTCGCACGTTCTGTCCTTTAGATTTACTCTTAACGACACAACTTCAATCCCTTGAAGAGGTCGCGACAACTCTGTGACACGAAACATTTCATGCCTTCTTGAGAAGCTTGTTACAAACATTCCATTTGATGCAACAATTTTTTTATGTTGATCTGCAACTAATCTAGGGTGATAGACGTGACCGCCTTGCATCCAGGTTTGAGCTTGTCCCCCGAGCTTCGCAAAAAGCGCCCCAAACGAAAATATGTAGTTTTTACTAAAGCCGCTACAGGTAAGTGACGTGCACCCTTTAAGGTTAAATTGATTGCCTCAGCCAAGTTGGTCGTCATGTGTCCATATCGATATCCACCATCAAATGCGTTCGTCCACATTTCTTTATCGATGAGGCTGATGTAATCGTATCCTTCCTCGTTCTTCGCCCGCAAATCTTGAAGCATTGATTCAAACGTTCGAGGAAGTAGTTCGTAACCTGATCAAAAAATGTATAACTTACTAACTTGCTTTCTTTGCAAAATTAAATGATCAAAAATGTATAACTTACTAACTTGCTTTCACTTACCCATGCGCACAATTAATTGACACTCATCATTCTTCTTGTACCTTCCATGATAGTTCGCAACAATGTGTCGGAGACAATACCTATGTTGGACAAAGAATGGTTGCCACATTGGACCCAAAGACTCCATTGCTACTTTGATCCCAGCTCCGCGATCTGAAATGACACAGATTTTTTCCCTCGTGATAACATGTGCACGTAAATTTCGGAGGAAAAAAGCTCAAGAATATGTATCTTCTCCTTCGACAAGAGCAAAAGCAACTGGAAGAATGTTGCGATTGCCATCTTGGACAACTTCCAATAATAAAACTTGCTTGTATTTTCCATACAAGAAAGTCCCGTCGATCTGAACCACAGGCTTGCAGTATTTGGCAGCATTAACGCACTGTGGGTAACTCCAAAAAACCCGGTAGAATTGGCATCGATCGCGAAGAACTCTGTTGAGTTAATCGATCGACGGAATCGGCCAAGAGGGGGGTGAATTGGCAATTAAAAATTTCATGGAAGCTTTTGCAGAAAAAATTGAAAGTAATTGCACAGCAATTTACAGTGGTTCGACTTTCTCAAACAAAGTCTACGTCCACTACCTTAGCTATCCACACTAAGGATTTTCCAACAAATTCACTAATTTGTTCTTTCTTTTGAGGCCAAAGAGATAACCTTACAAAATCCCTCAAGAGTATACCCCAACTCTTGAGAACACTCTTTTTCTCAAAGAGAAGATTACAAATTTGCAAACTCACAAGAAAACCTCACAAGGTAAGATGTTTGCACAATTCTAGAACAAAGAAAAGAACACTCAAAGATAAATACAATTGAGTACAAAAGTGTTCTTGAAAGCAAATGAATATTGGATAAAAAAATAGACTTGAAATGCTCAAACTTGAGGTTTGATGCTTTCTCTTTGATTCTCTCTTGATTCTAGTTGCTTGATGTTTCTTGTTATTGATCAATGGCTCCAGAACTTGTTTAAATACCCCTTGAATCAATTCTGAACGTTGGTGATAATTAGTGGGGATAATAGAGCCGTTTTAAGTGTGAAAACAATTAATTTTCCTAGGTGGAGCGTCTCATGCATCGATGCATGATCAAGTATGCATCGGTGCATTCGTGTAAAATTCAAATATTTTGACCGTTGGAACACTTGATGCATCGGTGCACCAAGTGTGCATCGATGCATGAAATGCATCGATGTTTGAAAAATAGTCTGTGCATCGATGCATGGCTTGTGCATCGATGCATCAAATGCATTCGATGTTTTGAAAATATTCAGAGTGCATCGATGCATGGAGAGTGCATCGGTGCATGGAATGCATTCGATGTTCAATTAATTCATCGATGCATCGATGCATGGACTGATGCTCGGTGCATGCATTGAATAATTGATTTAAGGCTTGTTTTATCAAAAATGTTTTCAACAATCTCCCCCTTTTTGATATAACAAAACATTTGAATAATTTTAAGATTGTTTAAGAAATTATTTTTGAAATCGATTTTGAAAAACTTACTCCCCCTTACTATAGCACATCTTAAATTTTCTCCCCCTTTTTGTTAAATCAAAAAGACTCTATAAAACGTTCTAAACAAGAATAAAAAAAATTAGCCAATTGATTATTAATAATCAAACCAATATATATATTTAGTTCAAATAGTTAAGATCCCAAATATCATAAACATCCAAACAAACATAAACATCCAAATCAAAAAGTTTAACAATCCATGTTTTAAAACAAGAAAGCTGACAAGCAGTCTACTCCGTCGGATGATCATGAGGAGGAGGATAATGAGCTCGAACTTCAAGAGTTAGAGCATCCATACGATCACGCATCTCCCTCTGAAACTCAGTAATCGTAGACTCCATGGAAGCAAACGCAGATCAAACGACTAGAAAGATCGGAAATAAGGTGGCGTTTGATCATCTTGCCGAGCTGGTACTTCCTCGTCAATATCTCTCATAGCCTTTGAAGCTCTGGATCATTATCAGCGTCAGGAGCTGGAGGAGGAGGAGGAGCACGAGAGAACTAGGAGCAGCTCGTGAAGAACTAGCTCCCGGGGTTTGCTTACCGGGTCGAAAAGACCATAGTCCGGTGTTCTCATCCAATTTCCAATTGGTATCAGAGCTTGTTTAAATACCCCTTGAATCAATTCTGAACGTTGGTGATAATTAGTGGGGATAATAGAGCCGTTTAAGTGTGAAAACAATTAATTTTCCTAGATGGAGCGTCTCATGCATCGATGCATGATCAAGTATGCATCGGTGCATTCGTGTAAAATTCAAATATTTTGACCGTTGGAACACTTGATGCATCGGTGCACCAAGTGTGCATCGATGCATGAAATGCATTCGATGTTTGAAAAATAGCCTGGTGCATCGATGCATGGCTTGTGCATCGATACATCAAATGCATTCGATGTTTTGAAAATATTCAGAGTGCATCGATGCATGGAGAGTGCATCGGTGCATGGAATGCATTCGATGTTCAATTAATTCATCGATGCATCGATGCATGGACTGATGCATCGGTGCATGCATTTGAATAATTGATTTAAGGCTTGTTTTTTGTTCAAAATACTTTGTGAAAATTGTTTCAAAAATAGTTTAAGTACAAATCACAATTTTACATTTAGTAAGATTAAAATTGATCTTGAAAAACTTGGAGTAAATTTGATTCGGTTAATTGAATCGAATATAAATTTGTAAAATCATTTGTGAAATCTTAAAATTCATTTAACTTAATTTGTTATATCGAAATATCAAAAATGTTTTCAACAAACTCGATCATTATGGTATGCATAAGATGTTTCAAAGTCCACAATTGTCCCAAGATTCAACGTCCGCACCAGCCTAAACCAACCTGGAAGTTCGTTGTAAGATGCATCACATTCGCCATGAAGTTTGACAATGTCATTTTGTTTTGCCAACCAAGCTTTTTTATAGGAGACGGTGTACCCATACTACGATTGTATAGCTGAAATCAACACTGCAATAGCTATATGAGAGATTACTTTTACCATGGGCATGATGGCTTGGCATATCACTTCAGAGTCCAAGTTGGGATGATCTTGGTTGACCCCTCCAGCTCAACATGTGTGAGGACCGTTGTATACTGTTAGTTCCCATATGTTGTTTTTCCTCTTCATTTTCGATACGCGAACCATCCAATTGCATCGTTTTCGCGTCGGGCACAGTAGTATTCATATTTTTCGGTCGTCGATCAGTTGACTCTGGACTGAACAGAATTACGGATATTGTAATTTTTGATAGCCATCATCACTTCTTCTTTGCTTGAAAACTCCATGCCTAAAGATAACTCACCATTATTTGATGAGTAATATCCATAGTCCCGGATGAGGCATATCCGCAAATTCTGGCCCGTACATTGCACCATAATCAGCTTCATACATGTGTGCAGGAGGGTCAGTTTGTGCCACATTTCCTGGAACTTCATCATCATTGGAGTTGAATTGCGGTGATTCTGGGTGAATGAATAGTCCAGTCTCAGCACCATCCGCACCAGGCTCACGAAGCGGTTCTTCTGATGGAGATGATGGTTCCTCCATGCTCTCCACATTTAGGTCGAAGAACCTACTACTACTTGCACGCCTTCCCCTTGAACTGGAAGGCATATCGACATTGAGATCGAAAAGCTCGTAGTCGAATGCCTCCCCCTGGAGCTTGAAGCCATCGTGTCAAATGGAAACTGCACAGATGGTTGCGTCGATGGCATCTCCATATGGTCAAAGAAATTTGCATATGAATGCCTTCCCCTTGAACTGGACGCGGTGTTGACATATGGATTGTTCGTGGACCTACCTCGGTACATATCGTAAGGAGTTGCGGATGAATGTCTCACCATTATGGCATTAAAATCGTTACACATTATTGTAGTCGGGCTGTCAACTTGTTCAGCTAGCCCATAGTGTGAGCTTAAATATTGACCCCGAACAGCACGCACTTGAATAAAATGTGCATACATCTCAATAAAGGCGTCTGAATAATTACTTTGAGCTTCAACCATCATTTGAACATCATCATTGTTCGAAAGTTCGAACGCTGTATAAGTTAATGGCAACAATGATGTTGGAAATCTGTACTGCAACGACGACATTCTTCTGTTACTTCCAACATGAATCTTCCTCGAAATCTTCGTTATCAGCTCCTCAAGAGTTATGTTTCTCTTGAATGATATTTTAATATGCTCATTTGATACAAAAACAACGTCGGTTTTATCTTATCGAATTTCACCATCATAATAAACAATAGCTGAAAGTCGCGCCATTCTTTTGAGTTTAAAAGTGCGGCAATATTATATCTGCAAAAAAATAACTTAAACAAACATGATTAAATAAATTATATATGAACGAAAATATAACACAAAATTTTTTTTACACATCAACGTAAATAATTTAAATAATATAATTTTATATTATTACCTGCACCGCAAAACTATTTCGACGTATGCTCCCGCTTTTCAATTTTACAAACATGAAAATTAATTAAAAATAATTAGTATAATATTTTTTCAAATAATGATAATAAACAATAAGTATAATTAAAAAATTATAACAAAATTATCTTATAACGAAAAATCGCACGAACTTCTAAATCAAATATAAGAAGATTGCCAGAATTATTACTCATTGACGGAATTGTTGTATTAATTTATAAGAGAGAAGAGATGAGAGGAGATGTGAGGAGAGATACGAGAACGGGAGGTATTTATAAACATATAAGGCGCGGTACCTGCACCGCGTTATATGTAATTATTATATAGCGCGGATCAGGGACCGCGTTAAATATAATTTTGGTACGGCGTATAGCGCGGCTATTGATCCGCGCTATACCCCTACGTGGCGTATAGCGCGGAGCAGGGGGCGCGCTATACCCCACGTGTAACTCAGTCAGCGTATAGCGCAGAGCAGGGGGCGCGTTATACCCCACGTGTAACCCAGTCAGCGTATAGCGTGGTACATGGGGCGCGCTATACTCCACGTGACGCCAAATCAACATATAACACGGTTCATGGGGGCGCTTTACCTGCTACGAGTGTTAAATCGAGAAATATAATCTGACCGGTATTAGATCGGTATATATACCGATCACCGGTGATTTTTAGGGAAAATCGCCGAAAGTGACTGCTGTGCATAAAGCCAACATTATGAAGCTCGCTGATGGGTTGTTCTTGGAATCATGCCGAGAAGTAGCTACCAAGTATCCAGGGATTAAGTACAATGAAATCATTGTAGACAATTGCTGTTTCCTAGCCTGAGCAATTTGATATCATAGCTGCATTAGACCGAGTAAGAAGATAATTGATGAAGTTTAGGCTTTCGAATTTCTGTTGTGAGAATTACTACCTGCAAATTATGACCGGGTAACGGATCCTGGAAAAATCTTTTGCTTCCATGGAGCTCTTGAAATATTCATGAAACTTGCAGTTAACTGCCCAAGAAGACCATAATAGAAGATATGATTGCTTTTGATACTTGGGCGTAGGACAATACAGTCTACTCCTTAGATTGGAACGTCTACTGATAGTACAAAAATAATCCCCTTTCATCCACCTTATATCTGAATAAATTTGTGTGCAACTTCATCCATTTTCTGATTTCTCTTCTTCTTCAGCCTTTGTGTATTATATATTTAGTAAATTTACAATGTTATCTTCGATTTCGATTTCGATTTTTTTTTTTTGGAATAAGGGATAAGAGGAGTGTTTGTTCAAAGTTTGAACTTAATAGTTGGTATTTGACATCATACTAGGGGCTTCTTTGATTATTGCATTTCAGTTTCTAATTCAAATTATTCTGAAGATGTTTCTGTACTGTATTAGCACATTGTCTCTAGAGGTTTTGGACTCCTTAACAAAACCGGGTGGGGCAAATTACCTTAGAGTTCACTAAATTATGTGATTGATTCTATTTTGACCACTTAAGAAAACATCTGCCAATTAAGTCAGAAAATTCTGTTAATGGAGTTGCTGACATTATAATTAAATGAGATTGCATAATAACATATTTGATTTTTATTATTTATACATTTTATCAATTTGATTTCGATTTTAATTAGAAATAATTCAATAAATTTGTATATAAACATATATATAACATTTTAATTTTCAATTTCTTCATAAAATATACTTCAATAACGTATGTAGTATGTTTATATACAAATATAAAAAAATTGGAATTATTAATTAGTTTAAAAATACTTGATTGAATGATTACATATATGCAATTATAAAAGTAAAAAGGTTGAATATATAAGTGATGAGCATCAAACGTGTTATTATACAAGTTTATTTAACGGTGGGTTTTATTGAAAGTATACTGACCTGATTGTCAAACAATACAATTAGGTCATCATCTTAAATTCCAACTCTTCCATTTAAGTTATTCCAGGGTGCCGCATTTTAATATATTTTTTTATTAGTTTGTATAGTTTTAATAAATAAAAAAATATCGGTTGCTGTAATTAAATTAGTCTAATTTTTATAAATTCTTCTTATAATATTATTTGTATTTATTTTTTTTATTCAATAAAATTAACTGCTATTTTTAGTTAAAATTTTATTTATTTTGAATATATATATTACACGCCTTCCATTTTTTTATTTTATAGTTAATTTGGAATAGTGCACAGTGACCCTTTCAGATTCTCTTTCAAAGCACTTTGATGCTTCAGCTCAGTTTTGTATGTGCCTACTTACTAAAATTAGTTTTCAGATGAATACACATTAACCACCTTCCTATTAGAATGTAACAATATTACTATAATAATATTGTATTATCTTGTTTGGTTTGTTTAGTAACAATGTAAAATTACAATGTTTAGTTGGAATAATATAAAATTACTTGAATGTATGTTTTATCAAATTATCTTTGTGATGTATGTTTTTTTAAAAAGTTTAAACTTTAATATTAAATTATAAATATTTTAATCAAAATTAATAGAAATAATTTTAATCGTTATACTACTTAACTTTTGAGAAAAAATACATTTAATATATAATTAACATATTAAACTTATATTTTTAAATAATTTTCATATCATATTTATTTATACAATATATGATATAAAAAAATATAATGACCTCGAGTGGACAAATATATTATTTTTTAATGTATGAAATCTATTTTTAATAACTTAAAGTTAAATATTATTTTAAATAATTATATTTGTACAATAATATTATTTTTCACCTTATAAATTAAAAATAATTAATATATTGAATGTTAAAAATATAAAATGATTTTAAATACTCAAGTTTATTAATATTTTAATAAATTAAGCTCTTTATATATTATTATTATTATGTTTATAATTTTTGGTAAAGTAGAAAAAAATAAGAATTGGGAAGGGTCATTATAGAAGGAATTCATTGTTTAGGAGTATTATTGTCTAAAGTGGTGAGAATTGTCTAATACCTAAAAACTTGAAAGTAATGATATTCTCACTATTTTAACCAAAAATTGCTAATATTGAAAAAAGATTATTCCTTGTGATAATCTTTTTTATGAATCAAACATTGGAATATAATTCTAGAAAAGATTATCCTTTAAAGGTATTATTATATAAAGTCGTGAGAATTTTCTAATAACTAAGAACTTAAAAGTAATGATATTCCCTTAGTAATGATCTTTTTGACTAACCAAACGTTCTCTTAAAATTATAAATTTAAACACCACGTAAGAGAGTATATGAACGTTATTATCAAATTGATTGAAAATCTTCGAATAGAAAATAACCACCCGTAATATTAAGATAATAATAATAATTTATCGTCAATTTACATCATTACGTCACTCAATATCAATTGAAATTTTTTAGTTTTATATAATGTTGAAAATAGGATACTCCAACCAACCTAAACATATATATGTTGACAAGTTCTTCTGGATGTAGCAGTGTTGAAATTAAGTAAAATGCATGGAAAGAGATTTATTATTACATTAGCAAGAAAATGAAAGATGAAGAAAACAGAGTCTTAACACCGCCTCCCCTCCATCTCTTCTTTTGTGTGTGTTGAGAACTAAAAACCTATTTACAGATCAATCTCAAAGGGAAAATGAAAGAAGGAATTTTTTACAGCAGTCGGAGGAAGTAAATAAGATAAATGTATGCCTATGAGATGCACCTCATAGAGTAGATGGAAACGGACGGAGAAGGTGAAGAATCAATCCTTGGGTGATCACTCTCCAATCCATAGTCCATCATCGGACGGTACTCCAAGTCTTCATCATGATCGTACACGAATTCTGGCATCTCTATCTTCTTCCTCTTCACGTGCTCCCACAGGTAATCAACTCTGCTCACGTACCTCAGCTTCCCGTACAGCCTACCACAGATAATCCAAATCAGTTATGTACTAGGAGAAAATATGAATCCAACGGTTTGGTTTTGGTTTGGGTTTACCCTCCGGTGAAGAGAAAGCGGCCGAAGGTGGCAAGGAAGAGCCGAGCCTGGAGGCCGGGGTGCACGAAGTAAACGGCTTGGAGATTATCCTTGACGTCGACGGGGACAGCCTCGTAGATTGATCGGAGGGCCGAGATTCCGGGGAAGTTCTCGCTCCTTTGAACGCCTGTGTGGACGTACAACACCGAGAACGACTTCTTTCCTAGCCTCGGAAATATATGCTCCTCCAAATACTTCTTCAAAACGTCAACGCTCAAAAACCGAGCTGATCAACACACACAACCAATAACATCAGAAACCTAAATCTTTATTCGGGGGGGGGGGGGGGAGGGCGGATTAATTACCGGGGAAGAATTTTCCGATGATACGGAGAATCTTGTGGCCTCGTTTATCTTTGCCGCGGATCTTGAAGATGTCGAGTTTGCGGAGGAGGAGTTCTTGATCGGACTCGGAAATTTTCTGGGATGCCATGATTTCTGGGATTTGGAGAGTTTTTGAAGAAACGTTGAAAAAATATTACTTTTTGAGGAAAAATCAAATTCAGTTAGAAGCGGTTTTTTTGTCTGTAAGAGTAATGGGATGAGAAAGAAAGAAAGAAAGAAGAGTGGATTATGAAGGGAAGAGGAGGGGATTAAAATTAATATTTCTTCAATGGTAATATATATGCTAAGCCAATCTTTATTTATTTGGATGGGTTAGAGATAACGATGGCTAAACCTTTACTTTTGATTCCTTTTAATTTGAATTTATTTTTATTTTTATTCTCGCAAATTTATGTTTAAATATTCAAAATTAAAAATATATTTTAATAACACTAATGCCAATATATTCTAATTTTTTAATGTTAAATCTTCTAATTTTATTTATAAGGTATAATCTTATCTCATCTTATCTAACTAATTGATATTTGATTAAATTTCAAAGTCGTTAAATATCCTACCTTCTGTCCCTTGGATTATTTGAGTTCGTCGGATTGATAAAAGGAAAACAACAAGTGTAAATTATATATGTAGTCATTAATTTTTTATGTTTTTATATTCTGATCCATCGATTATAATTCTTTAATTTAATCAAATTAAAATATTAATTTTAAATTAACTTAAAATATTAACATTTTGGAGTTTTAAATTAAGTTACTATGAAAAAGTAATTTTAATTTAGCTTGTATAAATCAAATTGCTTCTAATTGAGTTAATAACCACACTCAATTACAAATTAATATTTTTTCAATTAATACGAGTAGTTAATCTTATCAATAAATAAAACGAAATAGAAATAAATTGTCGTATTAAAAAATGAACGTCTACAAACAAATGATTACATTTGTTAATATTTTTAAAAATAATAATAAAAAATAAAATATGATCATATAATTGTGATTATATTAATACAAGGGATAAATCAATAAAATAATCAAATAAATACTAATAAGATAAATGAAATTATTAGATAAATAATATAAAAGTTTAAATGAGATAGCCTGGGGTGACTCAGCCAGCCTATGAGATAGATACAAAAATCGGTGTTGGAGTTTGGGCAAATTGGTTTGAGCTTTGTTGATATGCCCATGTCACGTGTAAAAGGGCGATGCCAGACATTGAGAGATGTGCAGCGGATAACATGAAAACTACCCCGGCTGCCCTTCTTCTGACGGTTTCAAAACTTATCCATGCAAGTGCGGATGTCGGTCCATGTCATCGCCAACATGTCATCTTCTTCCGATACCTTTGTCTTTATCCACAACCCATTTCAACTGATTACTCAACCGTCAAACCTTTCGTGGCGTTGATTCTCCTCATTCAGCAACTCGACCACCCTTTAAATAGTTGAACCAGAGGCATCTCCATTCTCCACTACCCTATTCCTCATTCATTACCAAATTTCCAGAAACCAACCAACCATGGAAACGACGTCGTTTCTTTCTTCTTCTTCTTCTTTCACTTTCTCTTCCCTCCCTTCACCTCTTTTGACTCAACATGTCCACCGCAAGGGCCTGTTCTCAGTACCTGTAAATCCGCAAACATGTCGAATTGCTGTTGTCCGGAAAAGAATGAGCTTCCGGTACGGACACCCCTAAGAAACTACTCTCTTTTTTTAATTTTCCTTTGCTTTTTGTCAACTACTTGAGTATTGTTGCATGTTTTTTGTCTGTGAACTGTGAAGCACAAAGGCAACACTTGGAGGAAACATGCAGGTGACAGAAGCTCCGACTTCCGTTCCGGTGAGAGTAGCATACGAGCTTCATCAAGCTGGGCATCGGTATTTGGATGTCAGGTAATTTTTTTCCTGGTTTAATTGAATCTTGAAAATTTCCAAGTATTATAAAGCAAGGGCTTCAATTTCTTTGTTGTTTTTGTAGGACACCTGAAGAGTTCAGTGCAGGGCATGTTCCTGGGGCCATTAACATCCCTTACTTTTGCAGACTTGGATCAGGTCGGTTTAATATCCCTTAGATTAACACCTGAAATATTTTTTTAGCAATTTTTCTAAGATTTTGTTTTTGCCTGCAGGAATGGCAAAGAACCCCAGTTTTCTGGCGGAAGTATCAGCACATTTTGGACAATTTGATGAAATTATTGTTGTGGGTTTTTGTTTCCAATTGAAGTCAAATCTTTCCTTTTAGAACACCATGACCAATGTAATGATAAAATTCTCTGGTTATGCAGGGGTGCCAGCTTGGGAAACGGTCTCTAATGGCTGCCACTGATCTTCTAGCTGCTGTAAGCACATTAACTTATCATTCATCAAATTGTCTGACATGGTTCTAAATCAGCCGTCATATAGATTTTGAATCTTTGAGTCACCCAAGAACTTTGTTCATAGAGGCTAACCTAGGTGAATATGTTGAAGATGGATAGAAGCTAATTATAACTTCTATCATTGTTTGCATTTTTCAGGGCTTTACTGCTGTCACTGACATTGCCGGAGGGTATGAGGTGTGGACTCAAAACGGGCTTCCGACGGTATGACGATGTTGCTGATACAATAATGAAGTTGGAAGACAAAAACTAAATAAGATCAAAGTGGAGAAGATCTCACCTATTAATGTAGTTGCCAGTCACAGAATAACAAGAAACAATGTGAATGTAAATGTCTAGAGAAAATGCTCTTGTTGTTCTGTATGGAAATGGAAACAGAGAAAACTAACAAATAATGGATGAATGGAATTAGTGAAATTTGTACATAAAGATCTCCTCTGCTCTTGATGACATATTACTTCATAAAATTTGCCAAATTGATGATGGTAAACTCTGTAGTTTTGTGACATATTAGTTGTTAATTCACTGTCGAACGTGTTCCTTCTTAGACAAATTGATGATGGTAAACTATGTAATTTTGTGACATTTATCCCATAATCATTGTGCTTATATGACTCTACTGGTAAACTATCAGTAATTTCAGAGCTTCTGAAACAACTCCCATAGAAAAGTAGAAAAACAATAAGATGATTATAGTTATTTAGAATTAAAGTCACATAAAAAACAACTCCCAACAGCGTATGAATATCACAGTAGTTACACAGAGCAGGTACATAATAGAAACCAAATATGCAATTACTTTTTGCTTTTTACAAACTATTCCCAAATCCTTTTTTTTTCACAAACTATTATTTCACACATAAGAAAAATAGATATGCAAATATGATTTTACAAGGTCCAGTCCACCAATGCCATGCCATTGTTCCATGTCTACCAGTCAGTTCGTTTGATGAGGAGCACAACATCGGGGAAAGAAGATTCTCAATTATGTTGTAAGAACATCGGGAAGTTGCATCGACTGAGCTCCGATTACTTTACCACCAACATCTGGGAAATTTTCATGTCCCGGGAGTGGTTCTACTTTTCCGTCGATATCTACTTGCAAAGGATACATCAGAAGGTGACCCTGCAATGGCGAATATTCAGCAGCTGTGAATTTCTTCCAGTTCTCTTCGGCAATCCCATTCACTGTCCTCACACAATCTAGACTTTCTGGCTCCTTGAACAGCTTGTTTATATCGCATAGATGCTCTGCCCATAACGACATTCTATATCCGTATACCTGCCAAATGCAGAGAGGCATCAATGAGTAGCAAATACAACAAAAGATTCGAATTCTCATGAAAAGCTTCCTAGCCATGCAGTCTCACGTCGGTGTTTTTGTTCAATGTGTTATTTTACATGCAAAGGAGAGAGATAAAAAGCATTTTCTGATCTAATAGTATGAAAAAAGGAACAGAAATGTGAAGCATGTTTCTTTCATAGCAAAAAGTTCAGTTCTTGGGTCCTAAACACGGTTTCGACACCCTACGTCACATTAATTTTGGGAAGAAAATAAACGAAGACATATATGACAACATTGAAGGTCGTTCAATGCCTTCTTACCGGTTAGCATCTCCAAACAGAAGCAAAATTATTGATCTAAATTTCAACAGTTAGCTAGGAAGAAACAATAAGAAAAAGAATATACAAACCTGACCGCGAGGATATTTTTTCTTGGCCCATGTATAATGTGGTTGAAAGGCACCCATAGCTATCTCTGTGTCCTTTGTACCAGCCATGGATCTTTGGTTAATATTAGCTGATCCCACTATTACGTACTCGTCATCTACTATCATTCCCTTTGCATGCACGTAAATCATGAACCGACCAAATTTTGCAGAGTCAGAGACCTAATCAAAATATAAAACATGTTAAAGGAATTTCAATAAAACAACCACAAAATCCAAATGCAGAAATCTAGAGTTGTGTAGGACCAGTCCTGATTTGATTTCAATACTCATCGATCTACAACAAGAATCTAAAAATTAACAAAATGGATCAAGCGATTACCGAATTACTGCCATTGAGCATTTCCTGAGAGACCTCTTCCCGCTTACCAAGACAATATAAATTGAGGTAATCTCGAGGATGTGCATCCTTAATTTGCATGGACTTGAGTTCTTGTGCAACAACATCATACATCATTTGCATTGTTTGACTCTTGAGACAAAATGGGTGAATGTAAGTAAAATAGTTTGGAATTTCTCTAATCAGAACAGAGAATTCCACCGTCGTATTTCAGTAACAATAAAGGTGATATCAAAAGACTAAACCCTAAACCAAAAATGAACTTAACATAAAATAAGTTCAACCAAGCTCAACTAGTAGAAACCATAGCATATTTCCCTAAAGAACATTAGCATAGGCATGCTTCCAGAATTGGAAAGTCTTGCATCAGATATCAAGTCTAAGTTCAGAACCAGCTATGGAGTCATGGACAAGCAATTACGCGGATAATTGCACTGCGGCTTCATGTTTTTATCATAATGAATAGACATACGATTCTTACAGCTAATGTGGATCGGGAACTATATACCAACCTGCCAATATAGAATTTCCTGTACAGTAGCAGTTTTAGGATCACCCTCAGGCCATAAAGGAATAACAATATATACCGCAAATCTCTCCCTTGCTCTAATTTTAGAAGCAATCTTTAGTGCCAGTTCCATAGGGATCAGATTATCGGCCCCTGCTTAAACATAAAAGAAAAGACATGAAGATCTAAAAGAAAAAAAGAAATAATAGAAGCACATTATAGCTTCTTTATTGCTACCAGAAGATTAATAGATGCATAACTCAAGGCAAGAATCCCAAGATATGGAACACATAATGTTACCAAGGATAACACAGCTGACCTGCATTTTTATACGATGGCCATGCATATGAAGATCCAAGGAAGTACTGGTTTTCAATATATATGTAATGCTGGGCAGATCTGATAGCCTGTATATAAGCAGTTTGAATGCTTTTATCTATCACCAGATTTTTTGAACAGGTAAGATTCTGCAGAGAAGACATCCAACAATAAGAACCATCATATGACATTATACAGAAAAATGTAGCTGCAAGTAGGAATCAGTAACTGGTGAAAATCTAGAATATGTAAAAGCTAATACACATTTGGTTTCCTTCTATCTTAAAAACAGAAGAAAAGCATGTGCAAGGAGAGACCTGATTCTGAGCTTTTTTCATGTATTTTGGAAATCCTTTCAGTGATCCTGAATCAATGGAGCGGAAAATCTGTGGAAGAAAAAGGAAAACCAGCATTGCCATTTCCTTTTTGAAAAATGAAAAAGAACAAAATAAAACAAGTAATATTCAGCTGCAAAAATTTACACAACCTGAACATCCCAGTTTTCACGATCATCTTTGCTAAGAACATGTACTTTGGGATCATCTTCTGGAACTATTGTAGCACCATCCTCAGTCACCGCTAAGGGAGGACTTTGTATCCATGAGATACGTTCTATCCTAATCAAAGAATCTTGGTTCCAGTGAGATTTCCCTTTAAACAGTAGGCTGAACTCTTTCCACCTGGTTGATTTCCTCCACCGCTGCTCAAAGTTAATAAGAACATCATATGCAGCAGGCCCTTCGATTCTGCTGTGTAAATCATGCCATGGTTGCCTTGGGGCTTTGGTTCCAGCCTGAAAATAGAGACAGGTCAAGAGAACAAGAGAAAATAAAGAGCGAAGATTAGAATTTAATGTACATGTACCTAAACCAGCATTTGAACTTTGATGACACGGTTGAAACTTAACTGAACAAAATGCCAGTCTCACATTTCTAGCAACTTGTTTCAAATTGTAACACAAGCACACAAGCCCTGATCCCAATCTAAAGGGTGCCAGTTATATGAATCGCTTACTCAACTTTTACCTTGTAAGACCATGATCCATGTATGTGATAGGCACAGTATCACTATTGTTTCATGTCACATCTTTGACATGCTTACAAAGGTCATAACTAGTTGGAAACTTAGAGGGAACCTAGGGGATTTTAGTCACTCAGAAGCAATGCTAAGAAACTACAGTCGTTTATGTCACTGAAGGTAGAATGATAAGCACCCGTTCCCCAGCACTGAACATTCATGACCAGGCTGAATCTTTCCTCATCTCCTCTCTAACCAGTTTCGGATTCTACGTGAGATGCTTTACAAGAAGTTGGTGCTATTAACATACAAAATAAAACATCTTGACAGAGGAAAGTTATTGGATAAAAAAATAAGGCAACCACTTACAGGAAAAGTAGGATTATGAAAATCATCCTTGAAAATAGTGTCAAGATCATGAAGTAGTCTATGTTCAGGTGTATCATAGCGACCATCACAGAGATCGATACCTCCAACAAATGCAGTTATCTTCCTGTTATTGCCGACTGCCTGTGTGTCAACAAGGACACATTTTTGATGATGCGTAAACATAGTTCCAACAACCTGCACAAAATAATTGCAGAAGCAACCCCAGCAAAGTGCTTAGTTGAAACACTTATCAAAGTCAAATAAGGCTTGTCAAATCTATAAAATAGTTTGCTAAACTAATCTACCAAGCAAAACCAGACATGATAAAAAATAATATATGCACCCAATTAAATCAAAGAAAAAACCATGTACATGTTGAGATCTCATCAGAAGTCATCAACCTTCAAAGAACCCTATATATTGCTTTTGTCAAAGATTCAGAAACCTGAATATGCAGGAAATGGGTTTCACATACAGCAAATAAGCAAAATTCGTAATTCGATATCCTTGTGCAAGGACAGAGCAACTAAGCAAGTGGGAGGTACACATTAATTAGCTTCTTGAGTGCAAAGATAAACAAGTTAGTTGCAAACAAAAATAATTCAATATAAAGAAAGAAAACCTTGCCTTTTGTTTGAAATACCCAAGCTTATTGCTAGCATAGCGTGGAGCAAGCACACAAGTAACAGAGGAATGCTTAAAAAACTTCAAAGTTTCTTCATCATGCGTCTGCATCACTCCAGCCTGCAGCATCCATTAACACGAATTAAGATCTCGTAATTTCGGAGAATCATAGGAAAAAACAGCAGAGTTTGAGGGAACTAATTTTACCGTTCGGATACCAAATTTATCGTGGGAAGTTTGATCATCCCAAACCAACAACAGAACTCTAACCCCTTCTTCAGATTTATATTTAAGCAAGTCACCGAGTGTTAAGTCCCCGCCTCGAGGCAATGGCCGAGTAGGTTCTCTAACAAGATTAATCTTATGAAAAACAGACCACCCAACAATATAAATCATATGATGAGCCTCAGATATGGCATAACAAATATCCTCCCAACACTTGCCTTGGCTATAAACTTTACCGTCGCCTAATTCTATTTTAGGCAACATACCGTCCGGCACGTGAGCATCCTGGTAAAGGGTCACCTGGTTCCCTTTCCTTAAGGGGAAATACGTGTGCCTAACTCCGACTTGCTCTGGGTCACTGGCGACGCCCTGTTTATATAAAGAATTTTTCTCGCACGGCGTGAATGTCATGTCGAGGTATATCGCCGAGTCCTTCTTAGGAGGCTTTCCCTTGGGGCCAATGAGCGGGAACCAGCCGGTGATATGCTCCCCCGTGGCGATTCTCGAAGCCGGGATCTTGGCGGTGCCGATTGCTTCAGCGCCGAACAAGTCGTTGTCTTTTACGTTAACTTCGAGCTCACTGACAGGATGAGCTAAAGGGATGATGAAACGCTCGTTCCACTTCGGGTTCTGCGCGTTCTTCAAGACGCGTGTGCGAGCGACGGTGGCTTGGGGCAGGGAAACGGTGACGTAGGGATCGCTGGTGATGATTTTCCGGTGCTCGTGTACCTTGGTGTCCCCCTCTTCTTTGGAAACAGCCTGTGACGAAGGTTTGCAAGGCTCGAAGGTAACGCACCTGCGGAAATGATTGGCCATAAAATCCATGTTGGGCAACCTCCTGGCTTCAACGATGGTTAAATCTAAGTCCCCGTGGAGAAAAAGCATTTCCTTCGACCCTTCCTCCGCCATTTTCACAGTAGCAAAAGGAACAGAAGAAGACTAAAAGAAACAAAAAAAAAACCCAAAACAGAGTTTATCTCAATTGTTATGGGTCTGGCACGGCAGCGGAGACTTGGTTAACTGAACAAAAACTGTGGGGGACGACGTGGGTTTAGAGGGATTAATACGTAAAAGGAAGGCGTGGTGGAATAGGGAAATCGTGGAACGCCAGGTACAGACAGCTAAACTAAGCTAAAAAAAGCTGCTTGCTTTGCTTGTCTTGTTTTCGCTTCGAACATATCTACTTCACGTCGCTGTTTTCAAGGGACACGTGATCCGTGAAATGGTGTCTTAAAATTCTGGAAATTGGAAAAAATAGTCATATCATTCAGCTATGGTGCAAATCTTCCCCCTTTAATTTATTACCAAAAATCAAAACTTGAGTATAATTTAATAGAAAGTATTGCTAATAGCTCTTGATTTCTTCTTTTAATTTAAAATTTTGGAATGCAACTCATTAATGGAATGAATAGATATTTTTTCCAATTTTCACAATATCTTCCTCCTAAGAAGCCTTTGAGAAATTTTATTTGAGTATTCAGTCATTGGTTATTTTTTACGTGGAGTTGTTCACATATGAGGAATTATAATGAATAAAGACGTATATTAGTGAAAAATGGAAACTTTTTGTCTTTTTATTAATGTTTATATTTGGATTATTCTTTTTTTCTCTTAAAAAGATAATAATTCAAAAATGGGAGTGAAAGTTGATTGGGTCGACATAGCCAGCGAGTAGGTGTAATAGATAATAATGATAAGGAAGTGTACCCACCACGGCCCCATCTCTCTTCTCTTCCACTGACAAAATATAGTAAACTTAATCGCACTGAAACCAGCAATTTACCCAGAGACCAAAGAATTTGCTTCTATTTTTAAATAATTCCTTTGGGATTTCAGTTCTGAATTTTCACGTGCATCCCAACCTTCCACTCTTCGATTTCCCCTAATCCTCTCTGCGTACAATTCGAAACGATTCTTTCCCACCGTAGCTTGCATCATCATCGCCCTTATCTGGGTTGGCAGGTCACCTTTTTGACATCGGTCTACAGCATTAAAGCTATTTTTTTTTTTGTCCATTTCGATACATTTGAAAACTCCACCTTAACAATTTTGTTATTATAAACTCCATTTAATTTAATTTCATCCTTAAATTTTTAATAGATTTTAGGGTAAATTACACATTTAATATATAAATTAACAGTTTTTGTCCATTTTAGTATCTAAACTTTCGACCTTTTTAAAACCATACTTAAAGTTTAGTTTTTTTTAAATTTTATGTATTAAAACGGATCAAAATATGTACAAAACGTGTTAAGTTTTTAATAGCATGTTACTAAAACAAAACAAAAACTAAACATTAAGTATGATTTTGAAAAAACTAAAAGTTTAAGCGCTAAAACGAATCAAAACCGATAGTTTAAATACTAAATATGTAGTTTACCCTAGATTTTAAGATATTTAAAGTCTTTAAGTTATTGAAAAAATAATTAAATTTATAGTTTTTTTTCATTTGATTGAACTTTTAAATTAAATAAATTAAATCATCTAGTCAAACAATATTTAGGTATCTATTGTAATAAAAAAAATCCTTTAGTTACTTGTTTTGACAAAAATATAACTTTAGATACTTAATTTGACTAAAAAATATTTTAGGTACTTAAATGGAAAAGATGATATACTCTAGGTACTTCATTTGTGATATAACCCTATTTTTAGCGTAAAATAAGAGTTAATTGCATCACACATCCTCAAATTATGACTTATTATATATTAGTCCCTAAACTTTTAAATATTTCAATTTCATTCCTAAATTATGACTATATTCTAAATTAGCAATTATACTTTGAAAATTTCATTTTCATCCTCAAACTATGATCTTCATTCTAAATTGATCCCAAACTTTTTGAACATTTCAATTTCAACCCAAACGATGCGCATATACTAATTACACCCTTTGTTAATAAAATTGTTAGTCCAATTATATTATTATATGTTTAGAAAAAAAATTAGGTTAAACTAACCTTGAAACTAATTACATATTTGCATGAATTTGGGCATGAAATTAGAATATTCAAAAGTTTGGGTACCGATCTAGAATGAGGGTCATAGTTTGGGGATGACATTGGAATTCTCAAAAGCTTAAGGACTAATTTTAGATGGAAGTCATAGTTTGGGGATTAAATTGGAATATCCAAAAGTTTAAGGACTAATTTAAATGAGAATAATAGTTTGGGGACATATGATGCAATTAACTCCTAAAATAATATTGAAACAAATATTCTGAATTGACTTGAATAGAAAATGATAATGTGTGGAGTTAATCTAAAACAAATAATTTTACAGTATAAGTAATCGTTGCAATACACAGACAGTAGTGGAGTTTACAATTGAAGTGGAGTTAGACGTGCAGTGGTTCTTCTATTCCACAACTTTGCTTTTCCTCTTTCTTCAACTACGTCGACTCCATTCTCATCAACCTTTTCTCTTCTCCCTTCCTTTTCCTCGTACAAAGGATTGGTGACGCTGCCAGGTGCTGCATCACAAGCCCTCCAATCGAAATCCGATAACGTGCCACGTGCGCTCGAGAATTGCTTCATCTTCCCAAGTGAAGGAACCTTTGTAGCTTCGGCAATCTTTGCCTGGGAATCCGAAACACTAGCTTTATCGCCACGCTTTGTCCCTTTAATTAATCCCCGTTTCCCCTCCACTTCTTCCTGCGAGGCAGAGGCCACCTTAGATTGGGTAGCACCTTGTTTTTTCTTTTTCTTTTTGCTTTTGATTTGGCCCATGCATGAAACTTTTGGGGACGCTGGCTCACGTGCATCGAAGCTTCCATTCTTGGACTTCCTCGGAGCTTCCTTTGGAAACAAGGATACGGCGATGGGAGAAGTGGAGGACGAAGATGCTTTACCCACGGGGCTTATCGGTGGGCTTACTTGGAAACTCAGTACAGCAGTCGATGCAGCTTTTGGCAGAAAGGCCGACAGGATCTTCTTGTGTTTCGCCACCAGCTTCTCCATCTCGGATAAGACGCTCGAAACAGGAGCTTGTCTGATGTAGAAGTGGTGAGAAGGATGGGTTCAAAAAGAAGTATCGTGCCGGCAACTACTTTGCAGATTTGGTAGTAGGTAAGAATCGTCACGGACGGCCGAAGAGGCCAAGATCATTCGTTAGAATCAAAAGCGCTTTGACATTTTCTAGATGATGAAACTAGCTTTAGCGTGTTGATTTATGCAAATTACAATAATATAAAGAATGTTAATTTTGTTCATTCAGTTATACCACTACAAACAAAAACTCTTTATGCTATTTTGGTAATGGCCATATTCCCCAGAGACGCCTACGGTACTAATTTCACATTGTTATTGAACTTGGGCTCAACTTTAATGTTGTTCTCCACCATAGCCTTGAATTTCTGAAACTTTTTATAAGTTTCTGACTTGTTTTCCAAAAAATACACCCAACTCCTTGAACAGGGTGTGCCTTTATTTTTTGTGAATCATCAAGCTCCTTGAACAAGGATTTGGTGTCTGTCATATGATTCGAATAATAGCTTTTCACAAACCACAAATCACTTGACTTATGGTTAGCATCAATACAAGTCATAAAAAACTTGTTTTCCTCACCACTTTCTGCTGCAAGATTAATTTTTTGATATGCCATATTTTATGTTACTTTGCTCATTGTATTGCCTCTTTCGTTATTCCTTCCTCTACGTCTGCCTCTGATATAACTATGACCACGACCACCACGGGATCCTCCTCTTCCTTGATCGTTATTTGTTGAACGGTCATTGTCGCCTTGATTTGTGAATGTCTCCTTCACTTGAAATGCATGCTCTTCGCACTTTTCTGTTGATCTGTTGGTTCTCGCCTCATGAGACCGAAGAGATCCCATCAGTTCATCAACAGAGAAAACTGACAGATCTTTGAATTCTTCTATATCAGCCACAAAATGATCAAATTTTGTCGTCAAGCTTCGTAAAACTTTCACTACAACTGTCTCATTTGAAATTTGTTCGCCGTAAGAGCGTAATTGGCCGACTATTGTCTTTGTTCGTGACAAAAAAGTTGTAATTTATTCGCCATTCTTCATCAAGGTTTCAAAATCGTGTCGTAGTGATTGCAATTTTACCACTATAACCTTTGAATCACCTTGATACTCTTTATGCAAAATTGACCACGCTTTATTCGATGTGTTTGCTGCAACAATTCGTGAGAAAATAGAGTCATGAAGCGCTTGCTGAATTATGAACAATGTCTGGGCATCTTTTTTCTTGATTTCATGGAGGAGAAAATAGTCATGTGGACATAACCCACAGGTCCCAGGTCGGAACCTGCTATGATACCAAACTTGTTGAGGAAAGAAACTTGAAAAAGACAAATACAATATGCATGAAAGTTATTCTATTGAAGAATGAATAAAACAAAGCATAAATGCCTATATTTATCAGCTTACAAAGAAACAAAAATAGCTAACAACTTATTCCATTAAACTAAAAAGCTGGAACTAACAAAGATTCTATCAAGATATTTGGTCAATTAAACAGTGATCTTAATTAAGTTAGTAACATCCTCCTCACTTCTAACCACGTTCTGAAAGATCCTTTGATTTCGTTCCTCACAAATGAGATACATGAACGCACTCCACGCAAGTTTAAGGAACCACGTTTAACCCACTGAGTTAAACCAAGAATTTCTTTATATTCTATCAAAATTTATATTTAAATTTGTCACACAAAAAAAAGGGAAACTAAGATTTTAACGGAGATATAAAATTCTTCATTCTATTAATATTAAAACTATTTAAAAAATAACATATGAGATAATCATAAAGAAAGAGAAAATGACATACAAAAATCCATATTAGCATCGCCCTAATTTTTCTTAACAGTCACATAGAGAGAGAATGAATAGCTTGGTGACCGAAGTAGAAAAAGGTAATAGGTTAATGATTATCGATGTAGTTTACCCTAATTAAGACACAGTCATAGAGAATGAAAATAAGATATTTGCTTTCGTCCACAGGGACATAAATTTTCGCCTTTCAACTAAAGGAGGTAGAGAGAGAAAACAGGGTTTGCATCAGAAAAAATATTGAAGCTTTAAATGCGAGTTGGTTGATTCTCCTCTCTTAAGCACTAAGCATACCCACCCTACCTCTCCTTTTTTTCCTCTTATTATTTTCTATAATTATATATAAGCTTCTGCTCAAACCATCTGTTATTCGTTCATCACCTAGAAAACCGTTTTCAGTTCATTTCTCATTGGATTCTAACAATAGAAAGGAAAAACAAGAATGGATTTTTATGCATACCCATCTCGTTTTCCCATATCTTCGTTGTCATTGTTTTCCCATATCTTCGTTGTCATTGTTTGGAGATTTCATTGAAAGGATCAAATTTTCTTAAAATTTCGCTGTTTCTGCCATCACTGGGAATTTTTTATCTGCCATCTTAACCTTCTTCTTTGCATTAACCTTTCTTCTTTGCTTTTTTCCTCTGTATGCTTCTTTTTGTTTCCTTCTGTATGCTTCATTGTTTCTTCAAAAGCTTCTTTTATTTAGAACTATTTCATTGGAATCCCATTTCATTCTTGATCTATTCATTACTATTTTTCTTTTATAGTAATTAGTAGCATTTTCTCATTGTTATTATATGGACAAAAGATGATTATGTTCCATTTTTGTTGGATTGCAATTATATGAGTGTCGTAACCGTCTTTCGGTTGGGCCCCGAAATTGGGTTTCGACTTGAAAATTGTGGATTGGAGTCGCCACCGACCATTTTAAAACGAATTTAGGTGGGTCGGACACCATCTTACCTGATCTGCGTTATACCAGAAACGTGTCGGGTTCGGGAGTCGGTTACGGTAAAGGAATGATTAGCACCCTTGAACCGCCCTTTCAGTACCAATTAATTTGTCGGTTGTCTTTAATTGCGAAAATTAAGAATTTAAATTAAAATTTAAAAATCCGATTCGAAATCTTTGAAATTCTTCTAAAAAGTCAAAAAAGATAAAATAATAATAATAATAAATAAATCAAATCAAGGAAAAAACATAAAATAATAATAATAATAAAATAAATCAAAGGAAAATAAAATAAAATAAAAAAGGAAAATATATCAAATAAATCAAAGGAAAAAATGTAAAAAAATATATATATATAAGATAAAAAAATAAAAAATATATATAAATAAAAATAAATCAAAGAGAAACATGAAATAAAATAAAAAATAAAATAATAATAAAATAATAATGAATCAAAGGAAAAAATGAATAGTTGAAAAATTAAGGGACCAAAATAAAATGAAATACATATTAAGGAGTAATATGAAATAAAAAATAAATTGCTGAATCACAAGGGTACAAAAGTTTGTACCTTTCACAAGTAATTACCCCATATTTATCCAATTTGGACTTTTCCACTAAGGCCAAGTCTGTTCACGCGTATAGGTTTAATGAAAACCTAATTTTATACATACCCCCTATTTCCTTGCGCCGTTCCCTATTTTCCCATCTCCCTCTTTCTTTACTTAGGATTTTAGGAGATAAACCAGGAAAACAGATGCCACCATGCACGACCAGCTTTTGATCCGGACTTCTGATTCCTTCTCGGGTCTGCTCCTGTTCGTCACTGGGTTCTTGTTGTTCATGGTCTCCTTCGTTGTGTACATGGATTTTCAGTCGTTCTTTGCCAAAGGATGCACGTTTTCATGGTCGTGTGGCAGTTTTGGTTTGAGAGAAGAGTGGATGACTCGGTTAGGCAAACAGTTGGCGATATGTTATTGGCTCTTTCCGAGGTTTTCTCTTTTAGCTCGAAGCCTCCACTATAAGTTTTTTCGAATCATTCTCTGGTTATCTTTTTCGTTTCTATTTCGAATCTGTTGCTCTGGTTCCCCCGTTTTTCGTTGGATTTTGTGTGTGTAAATCTCTCGCCAGTAATCGTGTGTAATATGGTGTGTACTCTCTGTGATCTCCTTATACTGTGCATCTCCTCCCTATGAGTTTGATTACAAGCCTATTTATACAAAAAATGCATGCTTGTTTTTAGTCCAATTTCAGTTCTAATCAAACTCTACTACCCCTATTTGTTTGACATCCACGGTTATTGCTCATGGCCGAGAGAATCGGGCTTTGTTGAGTAGTTGGTGTCTCACATATTCACGTCGGTTGGAGGCCGAGAAGAGTGGGGGTCGTTGCGTGAGAAGTGGCGTGCCAAGGGAGGGAACCTCGATCAAGAACATGACATGAGGCGCTAGGGTTCTGAAAACCCTAGCTGATGCGGATGGAACGCGTTTTGGATCTTGGCTGGGCCATACGTGGACTAATTTCATTTGATGTAACAGGTCTGCACAAATGTAAAGAATAAAATTACTAATATAATAATATTAATAAATAAAAGACAAAATTAAGTGTCTTCAGCTGCCCCTCTTTGCTCATTATCGTGTAACGACAATAGAGCAAAGATTAAAAGACACAGATTTTGTCCATATCGAATATCCTCCGTCGTAGAGTTGAAATCCGATATTGAAACTGGTTTGTTAGTCCAATTTCAGTTCTAATCAAACTCTACTACCCCTATTTGTTTGACATCCACGGTTATTGCTCATGGCCGAGAGAATCGGGCTTTGTTGAGCAGTTGGTGTCTCACATATTCACGTCGGTTGGAGGCCGAGAAGAGTGGGGGTCGTTGCGTGAGAAGTGGCGTGCCAAGGGAGGGAACCTCGATCAAGAACATGACATGAGGCGCTAGGGTTCTGAAAACCCTAGCTGATGCGGATGGAACGCGTTTTGGATCTTGGCTGGGCCATACGTGGACTAATTTCATTTGATGTAACAGGTCTGCACAAATGTAAAGAATAAAATTACTAATATAATAATATTAATAAATAAAAGACAAAATTAAGTGTCTTCAGCTGCCCCTCTTTGCTCATTGTCGTGTAACGACAATAGAGCAAAGATTAAAAGACACAGATTTTGTCCATATCGAATATCCTCCGTCGTAGAGTTGAAATCCGATATTGAAACTGGTTTGTCAATTGACCACCACTCCTTCCTTGAGTTGGATATCCTT